ATCACACAGCTTTCTGCACTCTTCTCAAACATGACACCCCCCACCCCCCTCTACACACAAGTGTTATCTTGTATCAGCTGGTGGTAAAAGGGTGAAGATGCACCCACGTCACACAACTCTCTGCACTCTTCTCAAACATGACAACCCCTCCCCCCTACACACAAGTGTAATCTTATAAAAAGCTGGTGGTGAAAGGGTGTTATGAACCCACATCACACAGCTCTCTGCACTCTTCTCAAACCTCCCCTCCTACACACAAGTGTAAGCATATATCAGCTGGTGGTAAAAGGGTGTTATGAACCCACATCACACAACTCTCTGCAATCTTCTTAAACATGACAACCCCTCCCCCCACACACAAGTGTAATCTTATATCAGCTGGTGGAAAAAGGGTGTACATTTACCAACGTCACACAGCTCTTTACACTCTTCTAAAACATGGCAACAACCCCCTCCCCCCCCCCCTCCTACACACAAGTGTTATCTTGTATCAGCTGGTGGTTAAAGGGTGTTATGAACCCACATCACACAGCTCTCTGCACTCTTCTCAAACATGACACCCCCCCCCCCCCAACACACAAGTGTAATCTTATATTAGCTAGTGGTAAAAGGGTATTATGAACCCGCATCACACAGCTCTCTGCACTCTTCTCAAACATGAAACCCGCCCCCCCCCCCCACCTCCCCTACACACAAGTGTTATGGTATGGTATGGTATATTTTATTTATTCACGGTTAAAAACATAATACAATTGTGCCTGCATTCAGCAAAAGCTGTTTTTCAGCTATCTTATATCAGCTGGTGGTAAAAGGGTGTTATAAACCCACATCACACAGCTCTCTGCACTCTTCTCAAACCTCCCCTCCTACACACAAGTGTAAGCATATATCAGCTGGCGGTTAAAGGGTGTACATGCACCCACATCACACAGCTCTCTGCACTCTCCTCAAACATGACAACCCCCCAACCCCCCCCCCCCCCCTTTACACACAAGTGTTATAATCTTATATCGGCTGGCCGTAAAAGGATATGCATCCACATCACACAGCTCTCTGCACTCTTCTCAAACATGACAACCCCGTCCCCCCCCCCCCCTACACACAAGTGTAATCTTATATCAGCTGGTGGTAAAAGGGTGAATTATGACCCCACATCACACAGCTCTCTGCACTCTTCTCAAACCTCCCCTCCTACACACAAGTGTAAGCATAATCAGGGTTGTTGATTTTTTTGATTTAAATCGGATTTTTATGATTTAAATCAGATTTTTTTGATTTTTTTCCAACGAAAAATAATGGTCAAACTTAACAAGTTTTAGACTATATTTAAACTGTTTTACACCAATAATAGTGGTCAAGTAGTCTTTTGAACATTGTGTATTGTACTATTTGACACAATAATCCACTTATATACAGGTAATTTTTTTTTTTTTTTTTTATTTATTTGCATTATAGAGAGGGACATTTTATGGAAGCCCAGGTAATGTTATGTATTATGTATACATTTAAACTCTTGAAATTTTTATATCAGTCTGTACGTTAACATCTAATTTGAATGTAATATTTAACCAGATTTGCAATAGGCACTTCCTGATATGCTTGTAACAAAATACACATTTTATGTTTTCATTACAGTGTAACCTCAGTTCCAAATAAAACTTCAATAAATTTTGTTGCAAGATGCAGGATAAGCACCACTGTCCACCACATCATTGATGTGCTGTTTTTTCAAACTATTACATGAACAAGCAAGCACAGCAGTTGTATTGCTGCATACAGTAACACTTGCCCAGCAACTTTCCCATTTCTAAATTCTTACTTATTAAGTATACATGTGTACTTTGAAATTGTGTAATTGAATGTATGGGTATTGATAAGAAAATACACAAGCATGCAAATATACATGTAATTCTTATCAAATGTACACATATGCCTTCAACTTAAGTAATTGAAAGAATGGGTATTAATAGTAACAAGAAGGAGGTACATACAAGTAGTTCAGCTGTTTTGTAAAAGTATCCAAGTTGTGGACTTTGAGCACCTTTGTAGATTTTATATATTATTTTATTGAAGATTTAACAGTTTGGTGTACATACAGAGTTATTTATCATTACTTCGTTAGAAACTTGTTGTTTTCATCAGTTTTGCTTGTTTTACAATTTGAAAATAAAACAGTGGTGTTAAATCAGACTCCATGAGGATGTATCATTCTTTTAAAGTATCTCTAAAGCATGTGGAACAGAAATGAAAATGATTACATTGAAAGTATCTGTTAAGAAGAAGAGAAAATAGAGAAAACTAATTTTTTTCATAAAAGTTGATTTAAATCAGTGATTTTTTTGAAAAAAATCAAGTGATTTAAATCGCGATTTAAATCATGATTTAAATCAAACAACCCTGAAGCATATATATCAGCTGGCGGTTAAAGGGTGTACATGCACCCACATCACACAGCTCTTAACACTGTTCTCAAACATGACAACCCCCCCCCCCCCCCTCTTCTACATACAAGTGTAATTTTCAATCAGCTGGTGGTAAAAGGGTGTACATGCACCCACATCACACAGCTCTCTGTACTCTTCTCAAACATTACAACCCCCTAAACACAGGTATAACTAGAAATATTGCAATTAATAAAATGGCTCTAGTATTTTAAGCATCGTGATTGGTCAATACGCATCACATGACATTGACAAATTTTTGATGCAAGCACGATTTTGCAGATAAAAGTGCAAAAAAATTTTACCATGGATATCCAGCGCGCACGCGTACGCGTAGTACTAGTACGCTCCCTCGAGTGCATTGTAGGCTATAGGCTACGTGTAGCTAATATTGTACGCTCCACCATGATCCCCAGCGCAGCGTACGCGTAGCTCTAGCTTGCTAGCTAGCTAGCTAGCTAGAGCGGGGTATTATTAGAAATCAAATTTTTATTTTACTTTTGCCTTGGATTTAGACCTGTTCTGACTTTTGGATTTTATAATAAAGCCAGGAATTTCAGCTGTCTGATGTAGACTCGTCTCTAGACCCCCTATGGATTTTATTTTTAATCAAAACAATGAATCCCGTGGAGTTTTTGGTAAGCCTGCAAGGTCTTACTCTTATTTTAGTCTAGTAGAACCAACATAACTCTAGATCTAGATCGAACTCTCGTAGACTCTAACTTAAGATCTAAACTTTTGTTTGTTGCTATTTATGTCGCTATTTTATAAAACAAATAACGCTCTTGACCCTGTTGTGCGAAACGTAAATGCAGTGTACGCTCGGTTTCTTCAGATGGTTCGCACTGTCAACTCGCCGCAAGCGGCTCGTTGCACAGAGCGGCACCAATCTACAGAAACCTCGCGCGTACTGCATTCACAGCTATTGCACTCTGGGCCGTGCGTTATTTGTATACTGTATTGATCAGGGGTGATAGTGAGCACTAAAAAAAAAAAGTTTTTTGTTTTCCCCTCAACCACGCCCCCCTTGATTAAAAAAAAAAGAGGAATCGCGGGGGAAAATCTAACAACATTCCCCCCTTTCGAGCATCTTTGTAGAAAATTTGAAAGAAATCTTTCAAGAAATGTGGCAGTTAGAGTGCACATAGACAGCCACCAAAATATTACCTTTGACCCTATAACAGATGGAACAGAGGTGGCAGCATCATCAAACACTAAAGAATTGTAGATTGTCATAAGACACACCTCCATACAACATTTGAAAGAAATCCGTCAAGAAATGTGGCAGTTAGAGCCCATAAAAGACATATGATCTTTGAACATATAAGAGACGGAACAATGAGGGCAGCATCACCAGAAAAGAGAGATGTGTAGATTGTACCAAGATACATTTCTATTCAAAATCTGAAAGATACCCATCATGAAATATGACCTGCAGAGCACACACTAGACACCCACCAAAATGTGACCTTTTAAAACACGGACACTGGAGGCAGCATCACGAAAATCTAGAGGCTTGTAGGTTATACCCAGATACACCTTCATACTAAATTTGAAAGAAATCTGTCAAGGAATGTGGCAGTTAGAGCGCACACAAGAATATGACGCGCCTGACGCTGCTGAATCCAAAGTACCCCGTCGGCATACTGCCGGGGGATACAATAAGTAATAAATGAAATAGAAATCAAAATTAATTCAAATAAAAGAAATCATCAAACCTTTTATTTTTGTAAGCCTCCTATTCTCCTCAAGATGGTCTAGGTACTTTCTGATGATTGAGGCTACAACGTGAGTCTTGCCACACCCACCCCTTCCTAGGATAACCGTCAAGGCGTTCTTACAAACATGGAGTGCTGCCTCCTGTTGGTAGGTGTCAAAGTTGAACTCCAAGAAATCTTCAACAGGCAGGGTCCATGGCTTCGCCTCATGTTTGGCGAGCAGTCTTTCCATTGATCGTGCGATACTCTTCTCGTATCGGCGATACTTGCTCCAGTGGAACTTTACGTCCAATTGGGAAGTTTTTCTGTAAACAAAGGAAAGACAAAGGGAGCATAACACCGCAGCAAAAATAGGCTTGCGATTGAGAATTTTTTCTTTAGAGCACAAGCCCACCCAACTACAGTAGGCATGCAGAGAGATTCATCCTTTTTTTTTATACTTCAGAAAACTGCACAAGTACACCAATATAACCCTGACAAAGAAACCCCTAGGATCTAGAGAAATCATATGAAGGCAAAAAAAAAGCGGACTTACTCTTCTATCTTCACCACTTCCCTCTCCTGAAGTTCCACAAAGGGTTCCTCTCTGATGTGGCCAAAAGGAACATTCTCGCAGGCATCTCTGCGCCAAGCCGTCTCCATTTGACGCTTGAACAAGAACGTGTGTTTGCCTTCCTTACACCTAGACTTTACGATGTCGTAGAGCTTCAGCACCTTAGCCATCTCGACTGAGAGTATTTTTTTGGACTGTGAAGGATCATCGGTGTCTTGGTTGGCAGTGGATGTGGAGGGTTGGTCAAGAGTAGAGTTCTGCTTGTCGGAGGACTTGGGCGACGGAGGTGGAGCAGAATTTTGGTTGGTCGTACACTTGAAGATGTTGGGCGGTATCATACCAGCATTCACAAAGCCTTGGAATGAAACCTCTATGGTACCCCAGTTGTGCTCTCTCATGGACTGCAATTATTACAGGAAAGGGACAGATCATAGGATTTAATAGGATATTAATGAAAATTAAGTATTGCAATAAATGCAACTTTAAGCACTTTTGCCACTTTTTGATAGCATTTTGGGGGCAGGTTCAGACAAATCATTTACTGCAAAATAGTTTACTTTGAACTGAAGTGAAATTTCATTACCAGAACAATAACATTGCCTTCACTAAATAAGCGAAATTTAATGATGAAAAATATTATAATGATGGTGCCTTCTTATATAGCACACAGGTCCAGGACGCGTCTTTTTTTAACCTAACCTTGCCATCCTATCGCTGCATTTGATTGGCTCAATAGGAACCATACGTCATGCACTAGTCATAAATAATCATGATATGCACGCACACAGAATCTGATGCAATAATTTATCAAATAATGAGATTTCATACAAAACTTACAAGTGCAAAGCTATGTTTACTTAAAATGAATGACATTGTGAGAAAATCAGGGTGGCTTACTGTAAACGAATGACTACCCAGGTCATAAATTGTCCATAATCATTGCGACATACTGGTTAAGTCCAGAATCTGGCCGATTTAATTTTGATCTCAACCACACCGTACCAACGCAAAAATTCATATATTCAAATATTAATATGCAGCGCAAGATTGGCTAGGTTAGGTTTAAAAATGTCGCGTCCAGGACGCTCCTGGCAATCCAACATTATTAGTAATACCCAGCCATAGCCAAGTGGCCAAATATGTAGCATTCTAGCTTATCAAATACCCATTACCATCTGGGTGGAGAGTGGCAAATCAGGGATTAGTGTCTTGCCAATGTCTTACCGTATAAAATCCCAGGTCTTCGGGGAGTTCTTCAGGACAGACTCCAGTCGTTCCAGGTCTCGCAATTTCTCTGTAGACAGGATAGAGAATGCTTGTCTCTCCATCAACAGAGGAAGCCCTTTGAAGAGTAGCGGACACTTGAAACATCTGTAGACGTACCTCAGATCAACTGTGCAAAATGAACATAACAATCTGAACATAATATGGTTGCAATCCTATTCAAAATCCAGTGCATGTAAATATTATTAAGGTTGCATTTCATCACCAATGTAGGGTATATTGATTTGGGTATTTGGATACTGTATGTGTGCTCCTAAGTCCGGGGCTGAAGTTATGAATTCGGTTAGTGTAAGAAATTGTCATCAGGTAAAAGATGGTGCAGCATGTAACACATGCATTCACTGATATTACAAAAAAACAACGGATACACACTTAAAGCATCATTTTTCATAGCACTCGTTACTCACATTTTGGCTTCTTCTCCTCTTCATCTTTGTTGCTGGATGCGTGACTGAAGCATTTGTTAGATGGATCAAACCGCTGCATGATTATCTTAGCAACCTGCATCATCGGTATCGCCGTTGTGTCGTCGGGTGTTGTCTTCTTCTTGAGAGCTTCCTCCAGCGCCTTGAAGAACTGACAAAAGGTGTAGTGCTTCCGCTTCTTGGTACGAGTACGCCACTCCTCAAAGTAGTCCCAGAAGGCTCGTTTCATCTGGTCCTCTGCACTGCCTGGTCTTGGAAAGTTGAACACATAGGAGAGAAGCTGCTGCAGGTGACTCTTCCCTTTCGGCCCCTTCTTGTTTCGGAGTGTGTACGTGGGGATTCCCTGGCAGATGTAGACGCCCCCTTCCTCGACAGCTTTAAACGAAGCAATCCACCAAGGTCCATCCATCAGGAACTTACCCTTAACTTTGATCTCTTTACCCCCCGTTTGTAGTATCATGATGCCTGGAAAAAAGTCATACATCAAATGTTATCTTTTTAATGTACAGTCAAGCCTGCTTTAACAATCACCTGTATAGAAAGACCACATATTTTGTTTTCCTTGAAATTGGTTTCTCATTGAAACTTGTACTATAGGCACCTGTACATGAAGACCACCGGCCTTTAAAGACCACTTTTCTTGTCTCCCTTGGGCCGTCTTTATAGACAGGTTACACTGTATATATAACATGACTATATTGTCTTGCCGCAAATATGAAATTTCACTCTTCTTATCAAGCTGTTTTAATTAGGTTGTCATTTATTTGTATTTAGTTTCTTTTTTTGCATTGAAATGTTTCACCTATAGGTTATAACAGACCATGCTACCCGTTTCCCTGATTTTTCAGGTTTCACACAATTCAACTTGTTGCAATGGTGGGATCGACCAATATTCAATTAACGAACAACTTGTTTTTCTGCAATGTTTAATTTGAAATAATAATAGCAACCAAAGAATTACAGTAAGAGTAGGAAATCTTTCAAGGGGCTTTATATGACCCAGCAAGCAAGATACAGATGTAAAATGACCATGGTGCAAGACCTGGAAGCTTGGCAGCTGGAGACGGCTTTCTTCCAGAAGCTTTGGTATTCAAGGTATATTATACAATTACAGTATGTATCCTCTGTTCATAGCTGTTTTCACCAACCCATCCAGCTCAAAACCTCAATTTTTTGTAGAACAAGATTGGCCTACTTACGCTCCCTTAAAGGGACAGATCTGGCCCTGGCATACGGAGCTCCGTTCTCAACTGCTATATCTTCTTCTAGCTCCAGGAAATCTTCCATGGTGTCCTCCTCGTGGACCAGATCCTGGACCTCATCTTCGCCACTGCCATCATCTGCCTGTCTCTCCTGTTCTCTTCTCTCTGTTGCACGATACCTACGGAAATATGCTGTGATATCCTTCACTCCTTGATTGCGTCTAGGCATGTTATCTTCTGCTCTGTGGTAAAGAATAATACAAGGGAATCATTATATTGAGCCTTAATTTCATTACAAAAGGAACCAACTTTCAACCTGTTAACTACTGAATTGTATCATTCGTTGAATCAAATTTTCTTTCATCATGTTCATATCCTAAAAAAAAAACATGGATAAACTTTTCGCAAGATTGTAGCAAAATACGTCTGGTTTATCCCCCCCCCCCCCTCCTTCCATGCTCTTGTTCATGCAACAAGGCCTCAAGGCCTCAAGACCGTCAATACTACTGGGCCAGAAGGGATGAGACCACACAGCAAAGTCACTGACAGGTGGCTATCTCATTAACTCAGCTCTCAACTAACATTAAAAAAAGAGGATCATGGGGGATCAACAGGCACCGATTGGGGGAGTTTTCTATATAGGCCTACATGTAGATTCTAGAGCCTTAGAGGGAGCAAGAAGCTACAAGTAGGACAGTGGGGCTTTAATAATCTGTGTAGGGAGAAGGTTGACAAATATCAGTTCTGTTACAGAATTCCCCATATCAGACGGTTATTTCTGTCAAGCATGTCCAGAGTCCTAACTTTCACATCTCCTTCTCCACATCTCCCCCTCGTCCACGCACATGATGCAAGAACTAATCCAGCTAGAATTAATACAAACCCTCAACTCAAGCAATCTACGGTTTATAACTGAATAATTTGATTGTACTTACCTGTCTGTTTATATGGTCCAGTGTCTGTTGTTACTTTTAGTTTACTACCACAAAGCTAGCACAGTCATTACCGGTGCAAGTGGCGTGCTATGCCTACGTATAAATAAACAAACCGGCAATCGATTAGTACGAGTCTCGACAGGCTCCGTATCGAATGATGATGTATGATGTAGTCCAAACGGTAGGTCTAACTTTAGATCTTCTGAACTATACTGCTAGCTACTCTTGTCCAAGCTCCCCAGCCTCAGTTCACGTGTTAACCTAAAGTTTAAGTTGAAGCTCAACTCAGACTCTCTAATTGTTTACTTCAATTCAGCCAGGTTTTTGTCTTCATGTACATGTACGTGCAGTGACAGTGTAGGCATATCCGTATTGTACGTACCTGTATGCCGGTGGTGTGGCCGTGGTTACTCAAAATTCCCGCTAGTAATAGAGCTCGCGCTCGAGAGCGCCCATTCAAGCTCGAGTATTACGTAATTGTTATTTCCTGTCGACTGATAGGGTGATAGTCTAATGACAAAGACCCTGATAATGTTAATTCGTCGGAGACTCAGCTAGGGTCAGCCCTCCCCCTTTCCCCCTATAATTTGTTTGTTTGTTTCTCTTCTCTTTTCTTTTTCGTTTCATAGTAGAATCGTGCCCCTCCACTTAAACCGGGCCCGCGGCCTCATCCCGTTTTTTCCACAAAATCCTCTTCATAAATTTCAAGTAGTCTACCATTTGATGGTGGCTGCATGAGTTATATGAACTACTGATTTTTTTCTCGAAAATGGCAGACAATGGTCACCTTCCTTCTACAAAAATACTATAAAATGAAGAAAAAAAAGGCCTACTTATCGACCCCCCTCCCCAATATGATAATGATAATAATAATGAACGATAATAATACAAATATATAGCGGTAACAATAAAATGATAATAATGATAATAACAATAATAATGATAATAATACAAATAATAATGATAATATTAACCATTATAATGGTAATAATAATAATGATAATAATAATGATAAAAGAAGAAAAAGACAAACAAGAACAATCAAAGATGTAGATAAATCATAAATGAACACACTGGCACATTGTGCTGTTTGGCTGCGCTTATATAGTTTCTTAGTAAAAAAAAAAGATGTTGTATTGCCCTTTAGAGGTTAGGTGCCAAAACATGGGTCGGTCGGTCGGAATTTTCTTCTTCTTCTTCTTCTTCTTCTTCTTCTTCTTCTTCTTCTTCTTTTTCTTCTTCTTTTTATCTCCCTCTTTGGGCCGATATTTCTCAGTTTTTAATGTTTGTTTTTTTTAATTAAAAACGGTTTTAAAAAAAATGCTTTAAAAAAAAAAGGCCTTATGTGATGTCATTGTTCAAGAAAGTAAGAGCTAGCCGCCTCCATGCATGACTGATTGATGATTGATTGATTGATTTTTATTCGACAAGCTTCCAACATACAACTATATACAATAATAACAGATCAAAAGATGTCAGCTTGAACAGGATAACCCACGAAAGCTCGAGAGCTTATTTCCAGTGGGGTCCCTTACAGATATGTATAAAATTAATAAGTTAAAATAGTAATATTTACAGACAGATAAGAAAATTAAAAGAACTACTTATTAAAGATAATAATAATAATAACAACATTAAACTGATGATAGAAATGATATTAAGTACAAGAAGAAAAAGAAGAAGGAGAAGAAGAAAAAGAGGAGAAGGAAGAAGAGGAAAATAATGATGAATTTGTAGAATTTCTATAACGTACGAAAACATAAGTATATACAACATGAAAAAGTATGAACCGACAGAAGAATAAAAATTTCAATCATATAACATGTCATTCACTTCTCTTCTCTGACTGTCAAGTATTAGGTATTCCTTTAATTTCCTCTTAAAATGATCATAGTTTCCTATTTCTTTTACACCATTGGGAAGGGAATTCCAATGTTTTATGGCATCGTAATAAAACGAATTTCCAATACTACCTACTCTTTCAGGTAAGTTAAAGTTGAATCGTCTATTTCTTGTATTATAATCATGTACGTCAGTAACAAGATCGAAGTTGGATCGAATATAATGATTCGACCTAGTATGATATATTTTATGCACATGATGCAATACGAGTTGTTTTGATCTTTGGTCGACTTCAAGAAAACCAGCTTTAGACTGTGCATCTCTTGGCGTTTTGTTAAAGGGACTTGGCAACAAAATGAGAGAAATGCAAATGGGTGCTAAGGTATATGACTTCAATGGTAAATGTACAATTAAATATAATCTGAAAGTTTGAGTAAAAACAGACCATTATTATTAAATGATAACAAATTGGGGAAAACTGATTTGATCGATTCCTTAATAATATTCACCTAACTATATTATTACAATTTCATTACATTTTAGGTGTATTTAAATTGTCAGAGAGCAACGAATGTACCATTATAGTACCATTCCAAACATTTAAGTATTGAAAGATATTTGTTTATGCTGATTTATGTCTTCTTTCATGGAAAAATAGTTAGGAAAATTCAAAAATGGTTGGGAGAATTTACTGTAAGAGTCAAAGAAAACCATAAAAAAATCTTTGTGGTTTGAACATTTTTCCAGGATTTTTGCATGTTAGATGGTTAAGTAGAAGGAATGTAAGTTTTTGATACTAACATTTCATACAAAAATTAGGCAGTTTGTTCCAAAACCTGTTTTGTATACAAACAAAGGTTTATAGTCTACATGAACCAGCTCGCTGATCTCACATTACTATTGATATTGTCTACAAACCTCGTGAGTCTTCTCATTCTATAATAATAAGTTGGCCACCCATATTCCAATGTGCATCTCCTTTTTTTATCTTCATACAGTGGCGGATCCAGGGGGGGGGGGGGGGGGGGGGGGCCCGGTCCCCCCCCCCCCCTTGAGAAAAAAATCATGTAAAATCACGTGATTTTTACCTTTTTTGGGGGTTGGGCCCCCCCCCCCCCCTGGCGCTCAAGGGGGGGGGGGGGTGCAAATTGAAATTTTTTTGAGGATCAAAAAAAAAAAATGTGCTCACTACCCCCCCCCCCTCCCCCCCCCCCCCCCCCCCCCCCCCCCCCCCCCCCCACTGAGCGACTTTTCGGCCGGCGCGATTTTCAAATTTCCGGGAGCAAAAAAAAAAAAAAGTCGGGCCCCCTCCCCTAAGAAATCCTGGATCCGCGCCTGTCTTCATATATCAAATTGAAATCCAACTACATTGTACCACATACATCTGTGAATTTTGATGTACACCCCCTCTTTCTTGTTTCTTCTTTCTCTCTATCTCTCTCTATCTCTGTCTGTCTCTCTCTCTCTCTCTCTCTCTCTCTCTCTCTCTCTCTCTTTCCCCTTCTACCAATATTTGTTCCACCATATTCGTATTATTATGTATCCATTGAGGGTAGTCATGCTATCAAGCTTTGCTTACTCTGTCAACCCTCCTGTTTGGTGTTTTCGATTAGTTACTTTATTCGACATTATATTCATTTGAAATGTGTAAAATCTGCAATATTTTGTTTGTTATATATTTGTAAAAATGCAAAAGAAAAAGAAAATCAAACATAAATAAATGAGTCAAATCAAATCAAATGTTACCGAGTCACTTTAAAAAAAAGAGAGACGAAAATAGAAAAGAGAAGAAAACACCTGTACATTATTATAGAACCTCCTTCTTGCATGGAGTCCAAGCCTAAGTTTGCATCCAAAAAACAGAAAATGTGTGCTGATTGGACGAATGCAATATTGATTCGAGGCCCTTTCAAGATGATTTTAATCTCGATTAATCTTCAGCTGCTTATAAGCTTTAACTAGTTGATGCGTCCATCTATTCTTTGGGTCTTTATTCAGCGCTCAGTTTCGGTGGCCCAAGGTTCGGACGACCATTATTCTCTTTTACTTGCCCCTTCCTTTTCCTGTTAAAGCTTTCTTTTATCAACTCCACCCTATAGATCTGAAAGCACTCTTTCAGTCGTTGTCCCGCCAATATGCGTGTAGGGATTATAGATTAACAAGCCATCAATCAAAATAGCACAAAGGTTTTAATCTTTGTACTTATACTTTTCACGAACTTGAACTGTCAATGCACGTCCACTCGTACTGAGGTGTAATGTAAAAAAAGTTTATCATTCTCTCGGATATTATGTTGCATGTCACTACCTGTTCGACACCCTTAAAAAACATCTGATGATCTAGATTGCTACTTTTTGGACGTGAGTATTATTATAATCATCATCTCGCTGACGATATTGCTACATCACGACCGGCGTTCATTCACAATCATTTTGAATGGGTCCTATGTGTGTTTATGTTATCGAAGTTTATTAATAGTCTAATTCAATACGCAGCGTCATCATCGAATCAACAGGTTCATTTACGGGAGACTTAATTAGAGAGATGACTTTTCCGGCCCCATTATAATAAAAGTTATATTTGCAGTATATATACTGATGGAATCAATAGGTTAATCTTCTTCGGTTGTTTTGTTTATTTCATTTTCATTTAATTTTCGTTGTTTTTAATGTGTTGTTGTTGTCGCTACTGATGATGTTGTTGTCTACAAGTCAAGAATTAATAGTTCGCGTAGTTTGAGGGTCTATACTTGTGTAAATATATGCGTCGGTAAACTTATAGCTGAGCGATTAAAAAAAAAAAAATTAAAAGCTCAACATGGGAATTCTTAACTTCATTCCAACCTTCAATCAACCCAGTTGCGGCTCTGATCATATACTATAACGAGTTAACACAAATGTTCCGAAGGTGTGTACGTCACTCATCCCCCCCCCCCCCCCTCCGACTGGGCCCCGTCTCTGATTCGCTGCCACCCCCCTCCCCCAACCCATGCAGGTAGGTCACTTTATAACGCTAACCACAAACTTTAATAAAGCTAGTCACAACCCAACTCTATACCCTTAACAATATAACCGATGGCGAGTCAGATCACGCCCCCTTCGGCCTCTTCGACGCCGGGCCCCAACACGTCTCTGATTATTTTTTGTTTTCATAGGTTTTTATTCATTTCTCTCATAAAGAAAAATTGTACATTATTTTGAAGCGGAGATCGAGTCGAGGTTTGGTGTCTAGTGTTCTGCCATGCAGTTTAATTTAGCAGCTTTTTCACCAATGTCCTCAATCAATTTGTGAAATCTTATTGTGCCTCTATTACATAAAAACACCCAAAAGCGTATGTGTTTCAAGAACCTCTTTCTCGAGGAACTCTTTTATTTTCCTCCCTTTTACCTTTCAGCTCATTCTTTGTTTTTGCACTATTTGGCCACTCACCCCTCCCCCCCCCCCCCGCACAGGAAAATCAATACCGCTCCTGAAGGGTCTACACCACCGCCCCCTAAAAAACGCCATTGATTATCCTACTATAGGCATCCGTATAACCGGAAGACCTTGTTTGAAAGGGGGGGGGGGGAGTTTCTTCTGAAAAATGTCACAATTGAATTTTAAAAAACTCATTTCTTTAGACTTCTTGATGATGTTTTCAATGACGTAAGCCATTTTTCATTAAATTGTTTGGAGTATGATGCCACGTTTTTTATTCAGGATATAACGCATCATAATTCTGACTATACTGGTATGTTTTTCTCATCGGATAACAGGATAATTTAGACATGTCCCCTTACAACTTACGAACATGCCGAACTGTCGCCCGAAATCAATTTATTTAATTTGGAATTTCTGAACAGACACGTCAATCGCATTCCCGGTTTCAATGTCACATACCACATTCTGATAAATCCAATAAACTTTGTCATCAACCGCTCTGGAAAAAGAGAAAATTCAATTTATTTTGTGTATCCTTTTCAAAGAATACAATATACGTACCAATCTCATGCAGCTTTTCGCCTCTTACGTTATTCGCGTGTATATAAGGACACGCTTAGCTTCGATTCTCATTTCTGTTCAACTTAAAGACAGCTGTGATATTTTCATTTTTGTCATTATTGAACTTATATTAATTTTATTTCAGCATAATTATCAGGAGTATTGGTGTAAGGTATCGACTGCAATATCACGAAGCATGCCGACTATGGTTGAGAGGAAACATTTGAAATAACTTTTGTACGTTTATATACGACTGATGGTGCTTTTCTTAACTTTGATCAGTAGTCCTGTAAATTACACTTTTTATTAATTCGTTTTTAAACGAGATAACGAGGCTTTCTCATGACTTGAAAGGAATTCGTGACAGACAAATTGTTTTTATAAAACGGGATTCATTTATACTAAAAAATAAAAATGACGTCGGAGCCATTTACTCACTCGATGAAGTTGCAGTACTTCCTCCTTTTGGTCTTGATAACGATGATCCAACCTCTCCCCGCCGGGAGCAGAGCCGTGGTCAACTGGCCACTCGTAGCCAGTGACTTGACATCGATGGATGTCGATGATCACCGTCGGTTGAGGAGTGCTCCTATGATTCCGATGTCGACGATAAGAGCGACTACGAGTAATGACGATGAGGAGACCAGGGATCCATGGCAAATCAATCAAAGTAAGAATCTTTCTTTATCAAATTTTAATGTCATGGAGTCTCTCCCCTCCCCCTCCAAATTAAAACAAATATAAATGAATGAATAAATAAATAAAACATCCAACAACGGTATTGCCAGAATTGCAAGTTCCCCTGAAATCATCAATTTTCCAGGGAGGCTCCTTATGCCACTTACAGTCTTCGCTTCCCCACCCAGATGATTAAATTGATAAGTAAACGTCTTCATTGTTCTTCATGGTAATCTTTAGTTTTTCACACTTTGTTAGCAGATATTGCTGTCAATTTACGATGCCCTTGTACTTTTATTTTATTATTTTTTTGTTTTTTTAGAAAATATATTTGTAAAATATGGAAAGAGTATCGTCAATCCAGTTAATATAAACATGGAAATGCATGATCATAGTCGCTTGTGCAATAATACTCCCCTAATGACGAATTCTTGGCTTCGATGTAAATTCAATCAATTACGTATGATGATTGCCAATGCTGGCAGCCTGGCACGATGGACAATCCTAAATTCGCAAGGTTTGCCCCATGCAGAGATGTATGCGGGAGTTATTCGGATAAATAATTAACCTTTTCTTTTATTCAGGGGCGTCTTCCCCATGTAGGAGGGGGAGAAAGAGGAGGAGGAAGGGGAGGGGGTGGGGTGTACTACACCCAACCTGTAGTACATTCTTAATTGTCACTTTTCTGTTCATCGTTAATTATTATCAATTGGTTAATACAATTATGGAAACACAGTCAAAATAAGTTTATATTTTCACATTCATTTGGCATTTTTATTGCCTTATCAGCGCAATTAATAATAAGCATTTTCACTGATATAGGAGCAAATATAGGATGAATATGATATTTTCAGGATAAAGCGTATACACATACATCATTCCGCCCCGTTATATAATATTGTTCATTCCTTGACTATAGGAATAATGCACATGCAAACAAAACTAAATAAATGAAAATACTAGTATACGAGGAACATACACCCTGCAAAGACCCATTCTGGATTTCCCATCAAATGTGATCACCTGTTAAGAAGATTTTTTTTCCCCCAACAATTACGTCATAGATAAAGGACTTGGTTGTCAGTTGATTTAATTATGACTCATCATAAGCTCGCAACCCTAGGCTTGCTCATGTGCAAGGCTAAAGATGAGAGTCAAAACTCCCTTTGGGGTATTCGCTGGAATATTTAGAGATGCAAAAAAGATGGTTTATGAAGCTATCATTGACCGTATAGGGAATTCCCCCTGACCATATTATTATTTGTTTACGGTTTACCGCTTCCTCCCTTTCTAGCTATCCGTTCATTTCCTCCCCAAGACTGTGAACCTAAGATCTACTCTTCTAAATTTCTGACTTTGTGTATATATACTTGCTCGCCCTTTCTTTGAATTCTCTCTCTTTCTTTCTCTTCTCTTTCCCTATCTCATTCTCTCTATGTCTGTCGGTCTGTCTGTCTGTCTCTCCCTTTCTCCCTCTCTCCTTCTCTTTCTTTCTCTCTCCCTTTCTTTCTCTCTCCCTTTATCTCTCTCTCTCTCTCTCTCTCCTCTCAATATGTCCCTGCCTCCCTCCTTGCCTGCTCGTTTCTGTTTCTCACCAAGGAATCTATATTACACTACATGTTCATTATTCCTATTGGATGTAATTTTTGATGTCTCCAACTAAAATACAATAACCTGTTAGACCTATTTTTGCTGTATTGTAATGGAATTTTGATATTTTTTCTTCAGATCTATGCCCACCATCCCTTGCACATTTATGCAACATCAAGCATCGAACGCCAAACGGTGAAAGTGAGTTGAAATCAAATTCCAGTTGGCATGCAACGAGTCATGTTATTATTGGATTAATATCTGAGGCACTTAACAAAAGAGAGAGAGAGAGAGAGAGAGAGAGAGAGAGAGAGAGAGAATGAGAGAGAGAGAGAGAGAGGGAGAGAAGGATAGAGAGAGAAAGAGAGAGAAATTAATAAAGAGAGAGAGAGAGAGAGAGAGGGGGGGGGGGGGGGAGAGAAGAAACAAAAAAGAAGAAAAGACGAAGTTGTATATCAGTTTAAAAGTAAGCGTGCTTGATTATGAAATTTGTACATTTTAAGAACAATCTCTTCCTGATTTTTAAAACAGCTCAAAACTCTTTCGTGACACCGTTTTTCGAGGGCGACATTGTCCTGGACTGGGAACAGAGAAGGAATCTTGGGCTAGCCGGCATGCATTCGATGTCGTCACGATCTGGTTCTCGACATCGCCCACGGCGTGCTATCATCAAAGGTCGTGATCGTCGATGGCCAGACGCCATCATACCATACACCATCGATTCAGATTTTAGTGAGTATATAATATGATGTTGGGGAATAAGGGCAACATTGGAGGGCGTTTGAGAACATGCGTGTATGTGTGTGTAAATAGGTTTTTACAGACGTGTATCAATCAGATATGATTATTTACGTCTGGGGACCGACCTTTAACGTCACCATCCGAAAGAGGGTGGATGTGTGTGTGTATGTGGGGGGGGGGGGTGGATGTCAAAAACGGTTAGTCAGCAGCAAAATGGGATGAAGTGTAGGTTAATAGTCCATGTACGACAATTCCCACCGAGGAACAATGTAACTTGGGAGATTTAGGAGAGTTCTTGCTAACAGTGGGGTAGTGCGTAGTAGCTTTTACTTTTTTAAATTATACTTTATAAAGACACGGGCCTATAGGAAATGATAACAAAAAATGTGATATATGAAGATTAGCTGAAGCCTACAATAGTTGGTGATTTAGCAATCAAATATGATTTTCATTCCCCGCTTATCAGTTTTTGGATACGCCACTAAAGACAGTGGCGGATCCAGGGGGGGGGGGCCCGGACCCCCCCCTTGGAAAAAAAAAATCATGTAAAAACACGTGATTTTTACCTTTTTTGGAGGTTGCCCCCCCCCCCCCCTGGCGCCCAAGGAGGGCGGGGGGGGGGGGGGGTGGGGTGCAAAATTTAAAATTACGAGGACCAAAAAAATAAAAATATGCTCACTAACTCCCCCCCCCCCCCCCCCCACTTATTGACTTTTCGGCCGGCGCGATTTTCAAAATTTCGAGAGCAAAAAAAAAAAAGTTGGGCCCCCTCCCCTAAGAAATCCTGGATCCGCGCCTGACTAAAGATGCCCTAATACATGTACTTAAAAGCTTATTAATAAATGTTTTTCTTTTCTTTCTAGATCATGAAGCTGTTAAGCTGATCAGATCAGCCCTGAGGCACTGGCAGCAGAATACCTGTATCAGATTTGTCCACAAGGAATCATCTCATCAAGATTATTTGAGATTTGCTTACATTCCAGGGTGAGTAATAAGCCATTTGATTTTACAACGTTGGAAATCAATGCTCTGTAACTTCTTGGTCAGTACGTGCAACAGTTTTTGTGCAGTATTGCTTAGGCTATTCTGTTCAGTTCAGTTTATAAATATCATCATTTCGCAGGCTCGGCTGAATTGCATGACAATTTACAATTAAAAACATATATCATGTGTCGTTTGACGATTGCTTGATGACTGTTTTACCTGACTGCTAAGAAAGTATGTGTATGCTTGTCAGTTTAGCAACCAGGGGACCTACGGTTTTAAGTCCTCCCCACAGGATTTAGTAATGAGGCTAAGTGTTTTACCAAAGGGCACGAACGCATTGACTTGGATTCGGACCCGGGACCTTCCGGTTGCGAGACCATTGCTCTACCACAGAACCATCTCGCCTCCACCATGGAGAACGATAGACAAGAAAGCATGGTAGTCTATTTATTTTTTAATTTTCATTATTTCCAGATGCTGGTCGTTTATTGGTCGACAAGGTGGAGAGCAGCTGATATCAATGGGACCAGGTTGTAATGTATTCAACACCATCGTTCATGAACTCGGGCATGCTATCGGCTACTGGCATGAACAGGTAAACTACTATTTACCCTGTCCTTTCCTTTACCCCTGAATCATACACATTTTCCTATTTATATCCATTATACCCAATCACGTTCTTTTTGTCTACATTTCCCGCCTTCACCATGAGCTTAATTATTGCTGCACTGTATATCCAAATCTTTCTTCTGTAAATGTACCATAGGCGTAAGATTGCTCCAGCCCTAAAGGGGGAACTAGAGTCATGGTAAGGAGGAGGGAGGGGGGAGGGGGGGGGGTACCGGGCTTAATTTCTAGATGAATGAATGTGAGAGGACAAGATCATTGAGTTAGTATAATTATATGGTAAAGGGGGGGGGGGTGCAAGAGGGGTCATATGTCAAACTTTTCACGTTGCCCCGATCCCTGTCTCTCTTTATAGAATTTTTCCTGGAATTTCGATGATCGAGGGGGGGGGGGGAGACACGTAGGCCTACTTCCGATATGGCCAAGTTGCTACCCCGCTGCATTTTCATGTCATCGAATATAATTATGCAAGAGGTTGTCTAACTCATTATTATTTTGTGTTTCTTTCTGCTGTAGTCTCGTCAAGATCGAGACCGGTACATTCAGGTGGTCCAGCGGAACATCGCCCAGGGTACGGAGGAAAACTTCAACAAGATCGCCATCGCCAACGTCACCTCGCAGGGATTTCCCTACGACTTCGCCTCCATCATGCACTACTCCGCCAACGCCTTCAGCGCCAATGGCAAACCTACTATACGGATGAAGAAGAGGTACCGTGACCTCCTTCCCGAGGTCAGCGCAAACCTTGGCCGACCTAGCAACGGGCTGAGCGAGCTGGATATCGCACAGACAAGAGGGATGTATGAGTGCAATGTGAGAGCTGCCAAGAAACAGAAAAAAGGTGAGCGATTGTGTTTGTGTGTATGTGCAAATTTTACCCTTTTGGCAACTTAACTTCACTATTTATATTATTTCTTTATCCCTTTATCAGTTGTTCATCGGTGATTTTTAAAACTTTCTTTCATCTTAGAATTATATAGGTAACCATGCAGTCCATTTTTGTGACAACTCTGATTGCACATGCATTTTCTTGTTATTACATAAGCATATCAAGCGATCAACCGTCTCGTTTTTCCTCTCAAACTATTGTTACTTTATTTTAAAATCCATCGAATTGCCATGGCTGGTATTGTCATTCTCAGAAAGTATATTACAAACTACTTCTTCCCATACTGTCTTTGTTTTTCTAGTTTTGTTTGATTTATGATAGTGATTTGTATGTTTGCTTCGTTTTCCGTTTTTTTGTTTTGTTTGGGGGGGGGGGGGGAAGGGTTATCTCTTATGCTTACACTGCATACTAGTATTAATCAGGGTAATACATAGGCGCCTTGAAAAAGCCAAGCATTTTGGATTATATGTAACTATATCTTTGTTTATTCAGGGCCCTGTATCCAGAGCGAAAGTGGCGACGGAAGAGAATACCGCGGGGACATCGACTTCACCGAGACCGGTGTCACCTGTCAAAGATGGACGTCGAAATACCCACACGAACACGGCTTCCTATCGGAGGACGAAGCCAGCAACGAGGGGAGGGGTATCGGACATCATAATTTCTGCCGGAACCCTGGGGGTCAGAGATTGCGACCATGGTGTTTCACTACGCTCGAGAGGACAATCTGGGAGTACTGCGACATCAAAATTTGTCCAGCGTTGTAATACATGTACATGAACTGACATGGTACTTCATATTAAAATGTTAGAGAATTTGTTATTATTTTTTTTTCCAAAAAAAAAAAAAATGTTCCTTGAGATGCGGTTTTCAGGCTCATAAGTTAATTAATATTCTGCATCTAAATGTTTTCTTTCCCAACTTTAGCTCTTAATGCCTTTTCATCTCTATTTCTCCATATATTCATCTCCTTAATTCTTTATTTCAGTCTCGCTCTCCCTCTCCCCTATGGCATTTGCTCTGTCATCCGTCTCTCTGCTTTATGAGATTGTTTGAGTTTATCTTCTCTCTAAATTTCTCCACTCTCAATTTTTCTTTTACGATTCTCTCGTCTGCTTCTCCGTCTGTCTGTCACTTTCGCTCCCCCTGCCTTTCTATCTGTCACCGACTTTTTCTCTCTCCCTCTCTTCTCTCTCCACATTATGATACTTTCTCTGTTCCTTTTGCTTTTTGAAAATGTGATAATTGAAATAAATTTGTGCAAAAATAACGCATCCTTTCAGGCATGATACAGAAAAGTATCCATCCACTCTGTTGTTGTATGATTGTCAAAAGTATAAATTTATTAAAAGTCTTAAATATCTTTAAACTTCATCAAGTATACTATTTATTTGCATTGATAATTTGAAATTAAACATCATTTTGTACATAGCAATATCTTGTCTTGTTAGTTCTACTTTATTTACATAGGAAAAAACTGCTACTACTATGGGATAAAACTATAAGAGAAGATAACAATTCTGATAAAGTTTTTGAGAAATGGACTTGACCAATCCTGCACCAGTCAACCCCCGGAACCATTATTGCTTTGATTTCATTTGATTTGTAGTTATAAGAACTGAATTGTGACTTCTTTTTTGCACAATAACTGATGCTTAAAAAAACAGACATACACAAAAGTAGTACATGTAAATAATAATACAATCCTTTTGAACTAATTTATAACTATTTTGGTAGTATAAATCTAAAAATATGAGTGTCTTTGGTTGAATTATAAATTGCTATGAGTATAAGTATTCCTATCAAAACTATCAACATGTCTCAAGATAGAATTGAGAAGTAACTGTTCATTATATGCTTCCTGATTCATATTTCAAAACCCCACAAAAACATCAGTATACCGGTAGAACAATTTCCATCAAAATTTGAGAATTTAACAAAAGTTAAAGGGTATGATAATAAGATTAGATAAGTATAACCTCAAAGGTATTTTACCATTTCTTTATCCATCATGGAAAAAAGAACACATCAAAAATTGAGTGGCAAATGCTTATTGTACACAAAAAATGCTGCATGTAGACCTATACAGGCTTTATTGTTATACACATTCACAATATCAGGATGGCACTCTAATGAACTTCCTGTCCAATGAAAACATTGGTCAATACAAGGATTAAGCAATGAACTTGGCCAGGGCATGCATTGTGTTGTTTTGTCCATAATTACATCCTACATAACATGAAAGGCCTATTCAGTAAAGTGTACCCTTTTAATCATGGTGGTGAATGAGACAAAAAGGCTACAATTTAATCCCACCCTCCCTCCGCTTTAAGACAGAAAGCAATAAATTAAAATGATGTTCTAACAAAACAAATCTATTTGTGAAGAAAGATTTATATGGGTTTGCCTGGCAGGAGATTTATGAAATAGCTTGTTACATGCCTGATGAAGAAAATATAATTTATTTTAACATCTGAAATAAAGCTCTTCTTTCATCATGCATATTTGGACAAAAAAGACCATCTAGGGTTTGGTGCATGTAGTAGACATTCACACACACTTCATCAAATTCTGTGTAAGTTTCTCTACAGTCATCTTCAAATCTTTTTGACATCATCCATGATCCATAATTCCATCATATTCATCGAAACTACCATCCACAAGCAATCTCTTCTTCATAAAGCTTGCAGCAACACTCTTGCTTGAACAGCAAGACTCTGAAGTCCCGCTCCTGACCGAATCATGGTTTCCAGGTTTCCAATCATTCTACAGCAGGTCTGCTTCATTGACATAGATTCACAAACCCAAATTTAACCCATTGCCTACAAGATTCAGATGGCATGTGTATTAATTCTAGCTGAATATGGAAAGTCCAGTAGCAAACAGGTTAAAAGTCATTCAAGGTCAGTTATCATCACCTGGCCATGTTGACAGTCTTCTGGAGCTCCCGTAGAGATTGCTTGCCTTGGGTCAGCATCATTTTGATCACCATCTAAACAAATCAACCACAAAAACGCAAGAAAATATGATTAAAAGAAGAAGTATAACAGCAATATCAAGGAGCTGTATAGCACCAGAGACACTGCTAAACAAAAATACACATTGGAACAAAAAGCACTTAGCCTACCCTGCACTATTCATTCTGTTTTCAGGATTATTCTTCTTCTTTTTCCTCTTTCGTTTCTTCTTCTCATAGTCTTCAAAATGGCTATGCAGCCTATGGCGAAGAATGGCGAAGATGAACTAAAGATTAACAGTGGTGCGAGGAAGACAAATGGGGTTCAATCATTAATGGGAAAAGACCTACAAAAAGAGAGATGTTGTATTGCCCTTATTATCCTTTTCCCGAAAAAACAGTATACCAATTTTTTAAATTTTTAATCTGACTGTTGATTTCAAGATTTTTGGGTAGGTCGCAAAGGGTAATACAACATCTTTTTTTTTAGGCCTAAGGGCATCACATGCCTCGGGGATGGTCTCTGAATGTTCTCCGAACTTTCAGCATGCACTACATTTGCTGGTAGGCTTTGCTGGTAGGGTAGTATTTTCAACAATGACAACAAAAAGGGTAAACTGACATTCCCTACAACCCAAGCAATAGTTACCTCGTCTGTGTGATGTTGATTCCTGCGGAACTCTTCCTTTGCCCAAGCCTTGACCTCTTTCTTTTGTGCATCATCTGGCATTGCACGTAAAGCTCTGAACACATCCCGGTAAAGTGAAATCACCTGCTGACGTACCATAAACTATATAGAACAAAAAAGGAGGAGAAAAAAAGGTATAAAAGAATTTCGATATTTTTTTAGATCTAGACAATATTCAAAGGGTTATAAAATACATCAATAGATCTACACTCATTCAACATACATAGGTCTAGTAGATCTATGACTCTGAGGTTATAACCTTATACTCCAAAACTATTACAGAAGCAGTGAATACCATACTTCATAAATCACCAAGCTCATAACTGACATAGGCCTAAGGCTAAATGGGGGGGGGGGGGGGGGGGGGGGGGGGGGACTATGAATTCAAGAGCATAATAAAATCAACGCAAACACTACAAGAAACAGTAGCTATGGGACTGAGGACAAGCGTTCAAGCAAAAATAAATAAGTCTACACAGTAACTTAGAAAACACTAATCTGAAAGGATTATTCATTAATCATAACGTTGCGTGGAAATGTGACAATTCAAAAAATAATAAGACTAATCATACATATATTTGATAAGATAAAACATGGACGTTTACCTGTTTCAAACTCATCACTTTTGGTGGGATCCTGGAGGCTGCCATTTTGATTTGTTTACGTAACTTCTCAACGATCTAGCTCTAGAGGGCGCGCGCGTTGATGACTTTCTCTTCCTTTTCTCCCCCCGATGCTGAATCGTGATAGGCAGGCATCACACGTATTTCCATTGGTCATATTCATGATTATTTATTTATTCATGTGAATTGTGGATTTGTGTCTGTGTCCATGCATGCCACCGACAAAATTTAAATAATAAATCTAGTAATATGGCCCAGTAAATCGAGATTATTACCTTCCAAAACTGACACTCCTCGATCCATCTCTTTCTCTCTCTCTCTCCGTCTCTCTCTCTCTCTTTTCTCTCTCTCTCTCTCTCTCTCCACCCTCCCCTCTTTCTCCCCACCCCTCCCCTCTTTCAGTATGTATTTCTATCTCTCACTCTCTCTCTCTCCTCTCTCTCTCTCTCTCTCTCTCTCTCTCGACTCTCTCTCTCTCTCTCTCTCTCTCTCTCTCGTTCTCTGTTTGTCTGTCTCTATCTGTCTCTCTCTCCCTCCCCTCGATCCCCTACTTCATTCACTACCCTCCTCCATAATTATCTGTCTTCTTTTTTTTTTCTGCGTTTTCGTCTTATAGTTATCTTTTGTTTAATATAAAACAACAACAACAAAACAAACGAGTCTAATATGCAATCTCAAAAATTCTTTCAAAAGATAATCTGTAAAGATATCTTTCTACTCTACGTATTATTTATTTGATTTTATAGCAGCAAAAGATATACAAGTTGAACATAGAACACACATATATAATGCCTTATACTGTAATCAGGTCACAGGTTAAAACTTAAGCAGATAAATACTAATATTCTTCATTTATATATCGTTTAATACATGCGAATACACTTGGTAGTATCAATATAAAGAGACAAATTCTATCATCAGAAAATACCTTACTTACTTTTAAAAAACGATAGTATTATGGTACATACTTCAATTCAAAACTTAATCTTAAATGAACTTACATTGTTTTCGTTAAAGAGAAATTTGTATTATACATGTAGGCACATTTTATATACGAGTCGCATCCTTGATTTTGTAAGGGGAAAGGAAGCAAAGCCTTTATAATATATTATGGAGTCATCTTTCGTCTTTCCTTCTTATCCGATATACTAAGTATTATTGTCTATCATAAGGCATGTGTCGATAGATCCCTCCTTCACATCATAAGGAAAAGACAACCTAAATTTATTGGGCATATTATGAGAAGAGAAGGCACAGAAAAACAAGATAGTTACAGGACAAATTGAGGGAAAGAGAAACAAAGAGAGACAGAGCACCATCTAAATGGATAAGTTCATTGGGCTGACTGGTAACAGAAGTAACGACATATTACAAAGAACCAGAGATAGAAGTAGAGGGAAAGCCTTGATCGCCAATGTATGGAACAGGCAAGGCACCTAACAAGCAAGTCTTTCATTATTTTGACAGTACCAAACTTCGATCGATTAATGCATTTCATTCAGAAGGGGGGGGGGGGGCAATAAAAACAGAGGCCATAGAAAGTTAAAATGGTACTTGTTTTCTAAACATGCAATCTATATAATACAAAGCTTTTAGTTTTTACAGTTTAAACCACTTATTTTAAATATACGTGTGCTTATTTACATTTTAAACACTAAAATTATTTTCATTGCCATTTGTAAGAATGCAATATCTCATACACCCGCTATCATTATTTTTTCTTTCGATCTGCATGATTATACAATTTTATCTCTCTGTATAGCACTTACCCCATAATTATCTTTACTGCTATAATCGTCTCCATGATGACGCAATCTTAAACATTTTGTCTGATAAATCTGTTTATATTATAACACATAGATTATTTGGAGGCATCCCGTGTCATCTCGTCTTCGTGTTTCAGTTTCTTACGGCCCAGGAGGGCGTCGATCTTTCTCTCCATTCGGTCGAAGCGATCGCGAATACTTCGGATCTCTTCGTCTCTCTTCGGGTGTTCGCCACCCGTTCGGCCGCTCGACGTCGTCATCTTTCCATCAATAGATTCCAGTCGCTGCTTCATGCCGGTGTAGAATTCATCATTAGGAAGTCGCTCCTTGAATGTTCCTCCCTGCATTAGAGAGGGTAATGAATACTTATTAGTACTTATTACTCTGTTAATCTGTTATAGATGAGTTAATCGCATAATGTGGAGCAACAGGATATGAAATGCTGAAACGGATGGCTCAAGATCGAGGTACTTGGAGAGACACTGTCTTCATGTAGAATTATGATTGGGTCACTGAATCAGTCATAAACTGACAGATCACTGTTGATGATGAATCTTATATTGCTCTATCTATCTAGTTGTTCATCTACAAATTCATATATATATAAATCATCTCTTTCTCTCTCTCTCTCTCTCTCTCTCTCTCTCTCGCTCTCTCTCTCTATCTCTCTCGCGCGCTCTCTCTCTCTCTCTCTCTCTCTCTCTCTCTCTCTTTCTATGTATCCATCCTTCTATATATTCAACTATCTTCTTATCTATCTATCTATATCTTAATCTGTCCATCCGGCAATCTATCTTTCTATAAATCAATATCTCCATTTAATACATCGATATATCTATCTACCAATCTACCAACCTAACTATTATCTTTTTTTAACATATCTATCTATCTATCTATCTATCCATATGTGTATCTATACATCTATCTATCTATCTATTTACCTAATATCTATACATCTCTATATTTCTGTCAATTTATCATCTATCTATCTACCTACCTATCTATCTATTCATCAATCTTTTCACCATCTAAACATTTCTTCCTCTCTCTTACCTCTGAAGCTGTCCTCTCGCAGACCATGATCGCTTCTTTGATTACCCTCCTGTCTCCAGTGAGCACACTGCATCCTCGCCTCATCCTGGGGCAGCATCCGTTGTTAGGGTAGAACCGCTTCTTGGATCGCATCACCTGCCTCCAGATGCAGACTGGAAGATACTGCTGCACCTCCATGATGGCCTCCACCTATACCAATGTACACATTATGATAGATGGTGAATGTGTGAAATGATAGACAATTATAGACATATACATTGAGTTTTAATACGAATGGATGTTGAATACCAAATCAATGATGCCCCTTTAAACATTACTCTTTATTTATCAATCATTTTATTTCTCGGACCGCATAACAAAAGGAAAATTCAAAATTACAAGATACAATAACATTAAATAACATAATTGAACAGATAGATACATTCTCTCTGGTCTTTTATTGTTCCATGTCCACGTTCCTCTGATTAATTTTGCTTTTCTCTCTCTCATTATCTTTTCATTTTATTCTTAATTTTCAATTGATTCACTCTCTTTGTATATCCGTTTATTACTGAAACTATTCAGCAAAATAAAGTATTATCAAATCAAGCCGGAAATGTCTCATTTCACTGAATGATGAGGATTGCCACTACGATCCCCTCTGAAATTGCCATACGTTGTAAGATTCTGAATCATCAAATTCTTCAATCACTATCTACTTAAATGTCAATGATTCAAGTAGTATCTGAAGATAGAAGAATGGCATACCCGCATAGCAAGACGATAAAACTTGGCCTTTCGTCTGATCTCATGTACGTCATACACAGCTAGACCAATCTGTAGGAGAAGAGATAAAGAGTCATTCAAATAAAATAAAAAATATTGGAAAGAAAGGAAAATTGAGGTTATTACAATACTGTATCATGAATATTACGATTGTGTATTGTATTATCTACCGGCGCATCAGTAAACTTATAACTAAGGATTCAATAGAGTTTAAGAATTAGCACTCAATATACAGGATTTAATATGCAGTTTTAAGAAATAGCACTGTGTTCTTTGTAATAACTATAGTTAGATTTAGATCTCCTTTTTTTCTGGATTTGAGTAACTGGACAACTCATAATGTGTTCATTAAATCCTAAAGTATGTAACAAAATTCAAATATATCTATTCCATAACTACCTAGTGTTAAAAAAAAAATAGGGAGTATTAAATTTTAAATACGTTTCGGTGACTAAGGATGTGTATATCAACAATTTCGATAAGATCAGGGTCCGTCTCATAAATACTATGATTAATCTGTTTTCTTTTAAAAAAAACAAGAGAATTTGCTCATGCTCTTCTAACAACATATATTGACAGGAGCGACGGACATGACTGCAACGAAGACAGCAAACATGACATAAGTGATAACCTTGTGTGTTATCTAACCCTACTAAAATTTAATCTCGTTGATTTTAGATTATTTCAGTAATATACCGACTTCCTTATTAAAGGTTCAGAGACTACTTACCAACAGGTTGACCACAATGATGGACATGACAGCCACGAAGACTGCGAACATGAGGTAGGTGATAGCCTTGTAGAAGACCGATGTGAGGAAGAAATCATCCTCGTCAACATCTAGAGTGTTCTCAGTACCTAGGTAGTCCTGACTGTGGAAGAGCCCAACGAAGTCGAAGTCACCCAGCATCATGGCCATGATCTTCACCAGTGACAGTTCGATTCGGTTGAACGGCGGCTGTAGGGAGTAGTAAGGTGAGGTGGGTGGAATTTGTGGACAAAATTGAAGGGGGGATAAAGAGAAAATGCACTTTCCTGATTCACCTATCATAATAGGGCATGACTCAATAAAAGTTTGCGTTGAAATATCTCAATTTTGGAAATCGCTTGTTTCGCGTGGACCCTTTCCTGCCCATCCTCTCTTTCTCTCTCTCTCTCTCTCTCTCTCTCTCTCTCTCCCTCTCTCTCTCCTCTCTCTCTCTCTCTCTCTCTCTCTCTCTCTCTCTCTCTCTTTCTCTCCCCTTCTTTCTCTCTCCTTTGGGGGTGTTATTGGATACCCGGTGAATATTTTAGTGATATGCAAGGCTTGTTTCACTGGTAATGAATATGCCTACATTGCAAACCCGTCGATCAGGAAAGTCATTGTCATGAATCAACTTTTTTTTTCTGTAACATGGCAGTTTTGCCGGTCCCAAATATCTGCATTCTTCTGATTCAGCACTGACACAAATTATGTAAGGAACACCTTAGCAAAGTTGCGCTATCAATTTTCCGGTCGCAATAAGATTTTTCACGAGCTTGATATAATATCTCTCGGATATTATTCGAGGTGATGTGTCCAGCGGATAAGTCTCCTGACTGTGAACCACAAGGTACGGGGTTCGAATCCCTGCCACAACACTAACATCCTTTGGCAAGACGTTAATCTACATTTGCCACACTTCACCCAGGTGAGTTAAAATAATGGGTACCTGGTAGGATTATTATTTGAAATGCACTGTGCGCTGAAAACGGCTGGCGGAGTGAGGGTAATCATTTCCAACGCTCTTTGGAAGCGCATAGGGACGTTATATCATAATGTGTTAGGCACCGTACAAGAACAGACTATTATCATTACCTGATTGACAAGAAGCATGTAGAAAGCGAGGGCGAAGGCCATGATAAAACAGAACAGGACCAAGATGAATTTGAGGAAGCTTCGAAGAATATCTGTAATAGACCACGACGGCAGAATGAAAGGGAGATTGAGACAAAGACGTGAATGAAAGGGTAGAAAAGGGAGGGGCATGGAAAGGGAAATGAGAGAGAGAGAGAGAGAGAGAGAGAGAGAGAGAGAGAGAGAGAGAGAGAGGTAGAGAGAGAAAGAGAGAGAAGGTGAGATAGATAGAAAGAGAAAAAGTCCGGGAAGAGAAAATAAGAGGAGAATAAGAGAAAATACAAGGAAAAACATATAAATTACCATGTATTTAGTACTATCCAGGCCGAAATTACAAATATTTAATTATGGAAAGTTTTGTCTTTATTTAACGTTAACATTACACAACCAAGCGTATCATCATTCAAATATGCCAAAACATGTAAGTATGTTTCTTTTTATCTCATATGCCCTCTAAGATCAATCAATTTCTGATTATTAAAAGAGCCACTATGATATATAAAAGTAATATGGTGATGAAAAATTTAATTCAATATTGCCATAGTAACATAAGTTACCCATGAACATGAGCACATAGAGACCAAGGAAAGAGAATCGTCTGAGGAACATGATGAAGTTGATCCAGGCCAGGCACACAGCTACTGAACCACATTGCCACTGCCATCCCTGTGCATATATACAAGATTCAACAAAAAACAGTGAACAAGTCCTATACAAGTAATAAGGTAGTTTCGGGCTGATTGTTGGTAATATCATACGGTGATGCTAGAAATCGAGGCATCGTTTCACAAGAGGGTCATGAGTACAAGTTCATCGACATCCCATTGAAACGTTTATTAATTACAATATTTTCTCGGGTCGGTTTCGGCAAACGATGCCCAAGTGTATACAGGCACGTAGCCACTGGGGGCACGGGGGGGGGGGGGGGCACGTGCCCCCCAAAAATGTCCCAGATCGATTGAACTTTTTTAGAACCCTTCCCCCCCCCCCCCCCAAACATCAAACTCTGGCTACGTGCCTGAGTTTATATAAACATAAGAGCATGTACTGTTAGTCCTAGCCGACAGACGAACCCTAAAACATTATCGTCGTAACTTATGTTTCCCATTAAAGACGTTCTTCCTCCTATGAAAATCTTTGGTTACAATTTGACAAATTTGGTCATATACCGCCCGCCTCATTTAAAATGTTCTAGCCCCCCCCCCCCTGTACATAAATGCGAAAATGATTCAAACTGAGCTCAATATGAACCGACGAAATGCTGGTCATAAAAGTAAATGCACTACATTTCCAACGATACTGTTGTTTTTGTGTAATTTCTTAAATGTATTTTGCATGAATTATAAAACTGTTGTTGACGTTATTTTAACAGCCTATCCAGGGGACGGATCTTACCATACGCAGCGAGATACTCGGTTGATATTCGGCCTGTCCAGCCAAAGGTATCACGAACAGTATGGATAGGAGGTACATGGAGCATTCCACAAGCTTTCGGAGCCGGAAATATGACAGTCTCTGCACCACCAAGAGGATTAGCTAGAAGCATGAAAATAAACACGACCAAAATAAAAGATTATCATCATAGCGATATTTTCCTTGCAACATACCTCGTTGATAATTAAAGTGAGGGGGATAATTAATATTGTAACATTAGTTAAAGTAGCAGCTTTGGCAGAGTTTTGGACATTAATCTCCGGCTGAAGTATTGCTACCCTGAACAGTTGAAACGGTATTCAAAGAATGTCTTCCATCCGGTGCTCATTTCCTTTAATTTGGTCAAGTGTGGCAAAGATGAAGTTTGAATATTTTCTGCCAAAGAACTTTAGTGATGTGGAAGAGACTCGATCCCCGTACCTTATAATTCGTAATCTGATGACTAGACCAGAACAGATTTATTTGCCGTTTTTATTTGTATTTGATCACAAAATTTATGTAATAGGCTGCACGAGCTGCATACTTTTATAGAATAAATAGCAATAGTACTACTACTAATAATATGATATTTCTATACCGCAAATTGCATAATGCCTCTAAGCTGTATAACAAATTATACCAAATTAAGACCCATTTTACCTCACAAACAAGATGTAAAACTGCAAGAATCAGTATAACCCAGTGACCGTTGACCGCAAAGAAATCCAGAGTGGCCTGCGGAATCCCCTTGATCCAACGCTGCTCGCCATCCCCGAACCACTCGATCTCCGTCTCGTTCGCCATCTTGGCATAGTATCGTGGTGCGACCGCTGTCACGTACCCTGTCAAGATGACCAGGAAGATGAAGTAGATGATGAGTGATGGCCAAAAGACGTAGCGACCGAGGGAAGACCACTTGTGGTCAAGGAGGCTGATGACCAGGGGGTGGGTCAGTAGGTCGACACGCTCCGATTTCACCTGCGATGAAAACGTTGATTGTTTTTCAAATATGAGCAATGATTATGACTGCCAAACTTTCAAAATAACAGGAAGAACACTTGATATTATCACTTCCATGTCTCACAAATATCGTTTTATGAAGAAAGTTACTCATTCATTGATCATGCCAATTTGGGTGAAAACCGGTTGAGAGAACTGGGGGGGGGGGGGGGTTAGGAACTTTATTGTGATAACGCTGTTTTCGTCACACTTTTCATTGAAATAATTACATTTACGTCATTGCTCAATTTGTCCATCCGGTAGTAAGAAAAAACCGAAACAAGTGGCAAGCCTCTTTTTCTACAACTGAATAGAAACACAATCTTCCGCCCTTGAATATGTATTCAACGCAATTAGAGAGAAAGGGTCGAATGCGTAAAAATGGTTGACTTGGGATTCGGCTTTATCTAACCAGAACATAATTAGCACAGTCACGAATAATGTTTAGGTGTTGTATTTATTACTATCATTGACAACACAATAGCAGAAGTGATAACTTTATATTATAAAACAAAAAAATAGGCTATCAAGTGAAAGAACACTTTCTCTGAAAAAAAAAATCATATAATATGTTGTCGATATGGTAGGTGCATAAGATGAAATGGTAAGTGGTGGAGTCTACTTGTCAAATCACTACTTGAATTCCGTCTTTGGGACTTACCATAGCGATCAGAGGATGATTTTTCACCATCCGCGCAGAGTTACTCGAATACGGTCTCATTTTCGATCTCAAATACCCGTCATCGTCGTACGCCGTCACATTCGACATCGGTTCGGGTTCCTCCTGTACCTCTTTGTAACTGGCAAGGGCCTCGGGTTTCTGAGATTCGACGTCGCCATCGTCATGTTTGAATCCGCCGTTGAGCGTACCTTCGTCCTCGGGTTTGTTTGTGAACGAGGTCTCGTTCTCGTCAACCTGGTTCTCCTCGTCAACGTGGTTTTCGTCGATGATGTGATTGTCGCTAGGTTGAGTTTCGTCCTCTTGCTGAGTTCCTTCTTCTTGTGGGGCGTCGTCGTTGATGGGCGTGGATTGTGTTTCAGTCAAGGCCGTTTCGTCCTCTGTACTATCATTGTTGTTGTTTGTGTTATTTTTATTTTCAACTACAGAGAGATGTTTGAGAAACGAGATAGATTTGTTATCTATATTTTTGCTCCCGCCTGTTATAATTTAACTTACTGATCACATCAATGAGCTATTAGTTCAGAGACATCGGTAGAGTATTTATTTCATAAATTAGCTTTTGGAATGGAGAATTTTCGGCTAAATAATCAGTAAAGTAATTTGATCCGACCCCCCCCCCCCTCTCCCACTTCAAAATGGCCAAGAAACACTCCTGGGCCAGACAATGATCGGTTGGGACCTGTTTGAGTCCACATTCTCTGATCCGCTGATTCGATTCCAAAAGCCATCTCTAACAGTATCGTCAGACAAAATACTAATATTGGGGAAGATAGGGAAAGAGATAAAGAGGGGATGTATTAAAGAGAAGATGGACGAAGAGAGGAGAAGGAGTGGGGGTAGGATTAGAGAAGAATTCCTTAGCAATCTTCACTTACTGTGATTTTCCCAGAGGGAAAATGAATCCTCTAAGAACTCGTAGTAGAATTCAATCCAGAATTCTTCGTCCTTGCGGTCTGCATACGGAGAGATTTCAATGCACTTATCCATGACGGCTTGAGCCACGTCTACAAATTAAGGGGGATAAATAAAGAATCTCATCAGTTGTAACATTCTTAACTAATCTACGCAATCAAAATGAATTTACTAAATATTCGTTTCGATAATGCATTTCTATTTGTTACAGAAACGATACGACTGAGGTAGCCGACTCACCGAGAAGAAAAGTTTTTCTAAAGGTTCCGAAACATTTTTCTTTCTTCATCGGAGGTTACTTGATATCGTGAATAGATATATTTGTTTTATAATTATCTTAGGGGGAGGGGCGCTATAAACCAATATGCTAATACCAGTGTTGTAATGACTCGACTCGACTCGTCATCACGACCACAACTCTCAGCTGAACACGGGACTCGAGCTTTAGGACCACGATTATGAAACTAGCTGTCATCATGTAACCGTCATTACCACGTTTACATGTAATTTGAGGCAACATGAATTGTATTGCAATCTTCTTCTTCTTCTTCTGGATAATCTGCCTCCTTCAATACTGATGATTCTTGCAGATGTATATACTGTGGTATGCACAGGCACGTAGCCACGGGGGGCATGCCCCCCCCCTCAAAAAAAAAAATCCAAGATCGGTTGAACTTTTTTTAGACCCCCCCTTTTTTTTATACCTCGATCGATTACATGTATGTGCCCCCCCCCCCAACATTAAACTCTGGCTACGTGCCTGGGTGTGCAGGTGGACCACTACACCGGGGTTTACCCCTACTCCTGTACGAATAGTGCAGTGGGTTCTTAACGTTCAAGGGAGGTGACTTTCCTCTACACGGGGCCTCAATTTAACCTTCCAACCGAGGGATATTAAATATCATTGATATATATCATAATTATGATTTCTCTTGGAAAAAAAGCATGATAATGATGTGTGTTTCTGCTTACCGGGCATTTTCTCGATAAGTTTCTCCATAGGAGTCGATCGATCTTTGTGATATTCATCCCATGAGCTTGATGACATAATCTGTTTCCAGTCACGATGACTCAGCAGAAAATAGGCCACGTTCCTAATAGAAACAGACAAGAAATTGTTAATACATTAAAGAGGTTGGCAGAGATTATCGCGGATTAGTAATTCTGCTTCCCCAAAACGGTGAAGCGCCAATCATTACTGACTAGCATGTAAAACGCCCTTTAGGTGATTCTGACTATTTGAAAAAATCCCAAGATGGTGTACGCAAATAGAGGATTAAGCCAAGAATAAACTTCGGTTGGAGTCATTTTAGTTCAAATCAAAATCTTCCTCTTGAAATTGTACATCCGAGTGATTAAAACTATGGATTACAAGAAAAGAGAGAAACGGTGCATATGTTTCCTGGCTGGTTAAATAAAGCAGGATTTTTACACCCAGTCGTTATGACACTTTGTGCATTTATGAGAATGTTTAGTTATACTTTTGCGTGAAAACGTTTGCTTATATTATCATCAATGTCGGAACACATCGGTGACAGAAAATAGGGATTGATTATCGTAGGGGCGTAGGGAAATAGATATATCGGGACACAGTGGTGCAAAAACCTACGGGTCTCTGAACATAAGGATGACGAAAAATGGGGGCTTCAGAACATAGGGGTGACGAATAACGCGGTTGCCGAAAAATAAAGAGAATGACGAAAAGTAGGGGTGACGAGTAATATGAATGGTGAAACCAAGGGTCCTTGAAGAATAATTGGGATGATGTAAATAGGGGCCATTGAAACATAGGCAAACAAAACATGGGGGCGTCAACACAGAGGGTTATCGAAACATAGGGGTGTCGAAGAATATGGATGTCGAAACATAGTAATGTCGAAATAGAGTTATGTCGAAACATAGGGATGTTGAAACATATGGATGTACAAAATTAGGGGTGTTCGAAACATATGGATGTCTAAACATAGTAATGTCGAAATATAGGGATGTCGAAACATAGGGGTGTTGAAGCATTTGGATGTCGAAAAATATGGAATTCGAAATATAGGCATGTTGAAACATAGGGATGTCGAAACAGAGTTATGTCGAAACATGGGGGTGTCGAAACATATGGATTTCAAAACGTAGGGATGTCGAAACATATTAACGTCGAAACATAGGGATGTCGAAACATAGGGATATCGAAACATAGGGATGTCGAAACAGAGTTATGTCGAAACTTAGGGGTGTCGAAACATATCGAAGTCGAAATATATGAATGTCGAAACATATGGACCTCGACACATATGGATGTCGAAACATAGGGGTGTCGAAACATATAGATGTCGAAACATAGGGGTATCGAAACATATAGAGGTCGAAACATAGGGATGTCGAAATTACCTATCGAAGTCGCCACATATGGATGTCGAAATATAGGGGTGTCGAAACATATAGAAATCGAAACATAGGGTGTCGAAACATATGGATGTCGAAACATATAGATGTCGAAACATAGGGTGTCGAAACATATGGATGTCGCAACATAGGGGTATTGACACATATGGATGTCGAAACAGGGGTGTCGAAACATATAGAAATCGAAACATAGGGTGTCGAAACATATGGATGTCGAAACATATAGATGTCGAAACATAGGGTGTCGAAACATATGGATGTCGCAACATAGGGGTATCGACACATATGGATGTCGAAACAGGGGTGTCGAAACATATAGAAATCGAAACATAGGGTGTCGAAACATATGGATGTCGAAACATATAGATGTCGAAACATAGGGTGTCGAAACATATGGATGTCGCAACATAGGGGTATCGACACATATGGATGTCGAAACAGGGGTGTCGAAACATACGGATGTTGATACATATGAATGTCGAAACAAAGAGGTGTACAGTTTAGAGTTGTCAGAACAAGGTTTTCTGACTTTAGGGTAGCAAATGATCATGCAAATCAAACGTACTCATTTCCACAATCAGCGGCAAACTCCATGCAGTTTCGACCTTGATGATCACGGGTCAGCAGGTCGACGTCGTGTTCGGTCAGTTGTTTTACAGCATCGAGATGACCACCTATACACGCTAGGTGGAGCGGAGTGACCTGAATGGGGGTGTATGAAAGAAAGAAAGAGAAAAGGGGCGGGATGGAGGGAGGAAGGGAGGGAGGAGTTAGAGAGAGAGAGAGAGAGACAGAGACAGAGACAGAGAAAGACACAGAGACAGAGAGAGAGAGACAGAGAGAGACATAGAGAGGGAGAAAGAAGGAGAAGTAGAGAGAGAGAGAGGGAGAGAGAGAGAGAGAGAGAGAGAAGCAGGAGATGACATTAAGATCTAAAATAATAGAAATGAAGTAAAGGTTAAATTATCTACAATGTCTTCATTAATGTTTTACATTTCGACTACAACAAAGCCAGGGTAATAAAATGATTGCATTTCTCACGAGGCTACCCCGGATAAACAAGTAATATTATTATTATTATCATCATTACTAGACCTATTATTAGCCTACTATATGTTATTATTATTGTTACTATTATTATACACGTATTTCACTTAAACACATAATAATATTTGTATTTGTCAATCAATCCATTTATCAATCAAACAATCAATTAGGAAAGAGATCAGTGTATCAGACTATGTGTTATTCTTGGATTCAGTCAAAATTCAAAATCAGTTTCGAGTTTTTAAATTGATCACTTCTTAAATGTATTTGACGCTATATCTCAGCTTACCCCGTTTTTGTCTGGGAAGTTGATATCAGCCCCAGCCTTGACAAGCGATCGAACTGGCTTAGCAAAGCCGTTGGCGGCAGCAAAGTGAAGAGCTGTTCTTTCATCAGCCTTCTTGCTGGATCTTAAGGATATGAAAACACATCGTATGAGAGCTTTAATGAGTTTCAGAATTTCTATGATGATGATATTTAAATAGTGTCACTCAAAAAGCTCAACATGAAAGGGTGATTCACGGAATAGCAGATACTGGGAGAATGAAGGAGGAAGAGAGAGACACACAGACAAGAGAGCGTCATAGCCACCTGGTATTGTCTGTGACATCGTCGGCAGTCATTTCCTGATTGAACCCGGGTCCAACGGGGTCAATGGTTGTGGCATTGACCGATGCGCTGGCCTTAGTGAGCTCTTGGACCACGACATCGTGCCCGTGTGCAGCGGCGTGATGGAGCGGTGTCTTCCCGTCGTCATCGTAGAAATTGACGAACTCTGGTTTCCAGCGAATCAAAACTCCGACCGTCCTGGAGGTTTTTTAAAATGAGATAGACAAATAAAAACGATTGTAATGATTGGAATAACATTTCACAAAATAACTTTAATTTTCTCTGGCTATCGATGATTTTTTTTTTTAAATGTTAAAGATTGTTATATTATTGGCAAAATAATGAACGATTCGGTTTTGGATAGGAAACTCGAGCATAAATTTTGTAAACTTCATCGACCTAGTTTGATGGCAAAAGGCAAAATATGATGTCAAGTCAAATGTAGTAAACAATGATTTGTTTTCAATCGACTTTACAGACTATTGGATGTAGAGTTGCAAATTAATATTTGGACGGCGTTTGTTTCTTACTCTGTATGGCCGTTCTTTGCGGCGTGGCTCATGTACTTCTTTATGTCGTCATCACCGACGTCATTCAGCTTTGATCTGTACCTCAGGAACAGCTTTCAAAAGGGACAGAGTGAAAAGGCGGATTTCAAGGTTATTTCCATGTGTTATCTAAATATAGCAAGTTGTTCTTAATTTGAGTAAAAGATTACATTGGAACGCCTTGTGCATATTCATTTTTTCCAACATTTTTCTTACCAATAGAGCTTGGGCATAAGTCAAATTTGGTTACATAACTGTACACGAAATCTTTACACCTCTTCTTCTTCTCTTTCCTCGTTGTCGTAGCCTTCTTATTCATCTTCTTCGTTTTCCTTTTCTTTTTCTTCTTTTTCTCTTTTTCTAGTCTTGCATTTTACAATCCTGATTTTTTTTAAAGAGAGTTAGAGAGTTCAACCCCAGTCCCGTTAAGTCCCATCTATACAAAGAGATATTCATTCATATTTACCTTCAAGACATTTGCTTTGTTCTCAGTAACCACCCAGTCCAGGAATTCAGCGATGGATTCATCTTTCTCTTCGCTTATCGGTTGAGCTTCCGGTTCAGGGGTGGGCTCGACTTTGAAGGCGGCAAGGCTGGTCTTCTCATCAAAATTGTCCGGCGTAGTCGGCTCTTCAGGCTCATTCACGGGATCGACTTTACCCTCTTCGTCGAAATCACCAGCTAGACTTTCCTCGACGTTCGTTCCCACTGAGTCCGCTTTCGTTGATTTGGTTTCGTCGATCTCCTCCAGATCTCCTTTGTTGTCGCCATCGTTGGTGTGGTCAGTGACATCTGCCACCGAGCCTTCGTTTTCATTTTCGTTTAGTTCGTCTACTCGGTAATCATCCTCCGCATCGACCGCTGTTTCATTTTCTTCTTCCGCGATGGCATCGAGATCGTTCCCTTCAACGTACCCGATCGAAGATTTTCCACCTTCGCTGATGATTGTCGCGGTATCGTAGTTGTCTTTGATGGCCAGTGGAGTTTGGTTCTTGTTGTTATTATAATGGCGTTCTAGGAGAGCGATGATGACGTCAAAACTCTCGGCATTGGCTGCCACCTGGAGAGGAGTGAGGTCATCGACGTCGGTCTTTTCGAGATTGGCCTTCCTGACAACCCAACAAAGTTATGATTAAAATTAGTTTTGATTAAATGTAAGGAATTAATGTTATCGTTGTTTGTTATACTGTAGTATTTGTGAAGTAAAACTATGTTTTCTTTAGATTTTAATTTTTCAAACAAGACCCGTGCACGGCCAAAGATGGCGATGCGAAGCCTTAGTTTTCTGAGAATATTGCATTGTTGTCTAAACAGTTAGCGATTTTAAAAGATCTTAATTAATAATACTTCTATCTTGTCTCGAAGTATTTTACTTACATTATGCTGTCAATGTAAAATTGAAGAAACTGCCAATAAAATTACTCTGGGTTTTATTCCTAGTCACGCGCAAGACAATAGAAGACGATTTAAAATTAGATTTTAGATTTAAGACCTTATCATTGAAAAGATAGCTGACATCGCTGAATGCAATACACTAAATGAAGTTTCTTTGTAGTTCACTTTAATATCTTTCCTATTAATAATGAATGTTTAATAGCAGTTCAAAAACAAAGTCAGAGTAAAATCCATCCTTCTTTATTCTTACTTTTCGACCAAGTGTTCCACCACGGCCCTGTGGTTGCCAATACAAGCCAGATGCAATGGGGTTCGAAGATCCCAGTTTGTACTGTCGATCTTCGCACCTCTTTCGACCAGAAGCTCGACTACGTCAACATGTCCGTTCGAAGAGGCGATGTGGAGAAGAGAATCGTCGTTCTCCCCGCGAAGATCCAGCACATTGTCGCGGTCATCATTGACTCCATTGTCGAGGTCGTACTTCTCCGCCTCATCGCGATTTTCGGACTTAAGAGCTTGGAACAAATGGCGAGAAGTATATGAATATCTGAATCGCATGTTTATTTCTAGCGATGAACAATAATGATAACATGAACGCTCATATTAAGTATACAAAGTACGGCCTAAATCCCATTGGGAAAGGAAATTACACCAGCCAAAGGAAACAAGGGCATATCATCCGCCTTTCACGAGAAATGGTAAATATTCTGACTAACATTAACATTTGTATATACTTTAGAGGTTTCCACGCTGTGTTTGCCACGTACACAGTGTACGTACTTTCGTATATCTACTCAACTTCATATATTTTCTCAACATTTGAACATTATAAAAGCTATCATGCATTCCTTACAGTATCATAAGAATACCCAGACAAATTATTAAATGTCTATCATTTATTGGAGTGAAGTTATATTGTCATAAATTATTGTTTTCTTCGTGTAAACCAACCTTCATCCAGACACTTCTTGACGAGATCTGTGTGGCCTACTCTGACTGCCTCATGGATGGGAGCCACCCAGTTCCAGTTAGGCTCGGTCACCAGCTAGAGAGAGAGAGAAGGTGAGAGAGAGAGAGAGAGAGGGTGGGGAGGGAGAGGAGGGAGGGAGAAAGAGAGAGAGAGAAAGAGGGAGAGAGAGAGAGGAGGGAGGGAGGAGAGAGAGAGAGAGAGAGAGAGAGAGAGAGAGAGCAAGAGAGAGAGAGCAAGAGAGAGAGAGAGAGAGAGAGAGAGAGCAAGAGAGAGAGAGAGAGAGAGAGCAAGAAAGAGAGAGAGCAAGAGAGAGAGAGCAAGAGAGAGAGCAAGAGAGAGAGAGAGAGCAAGAGAGAGAGAGAGAAAGGGAGAGAGAGAGTGAGAGAGAGAGAGCGAGAGGGGGATATGTCACGATAGTGAGAGACAAGAGAGGGAGTGACAGAGGAAGGAATTGTTAGACAGTTAGATACACTGATATATCTCTGGGTATTTAGATAAATAACCTTAAAACAGAAGAGATAAAGAGGTGGTAAGAGATACAGTTAGAGGCAGGTGATGCACATGAACAAATGAAAATAATTATTCCAAAAGCTTTAAAAAAAAAATTAAAAAAAAAAAAAATTATACGGGAAATGTATGACAACTTCACACAACAAAGGTCCAATGTGTATTTACTTATCATTGTGTTATAAAATACAGACATGTGAATCGTATTATACTTTACGTCATCATTTAAAAAAAAAACATCGATGTACCGCTGCATATCTGATCGAGGCTTCAGTCTTACCTCTTTCAGATGCCCTTTAGCCCTGGCCCTATCAACGATCCTCTCCGCAATTGTTCTGTTTCCCTTCCTGAATGCGATGTGGAGTGGCGTGTCAAAATTCTCGTCCCAAACGGTCAGGTCAGCGTTGTTTTTGATGAGCTTGAGGGCGATGTCGGTCAGGTTGTTCTCACAAGCCACGATCAGGGGCGTGCGATGTCGACGGTCTTCGACCTGAGGTTATCAGTCAAGGATTGACAACAAAATAAAAATATTTTACCCCATCGTTACCGTGATATGAACAAGGCTTTGACCCACAAAATGGTAATGCAGTAAAATGAAACCAACTTGAGTTGGCCCTTCACAATTTTGGTTAATTAATCAGCTCACGTCAGTTTAATCAAGTCACTTTCGATAATAGTATTATAGTAAAAGATTCAAAATGGATCAGCTGAGTAAAACCTATCGTCACTTGTTTTGTGTTCAATAATGTAATTATTTCTAATCTGCGTCAACTTTTACATGTACGTAGGCTATCAAGAATCTCAACCTCAAGGAATTCCATAGGCTACATCTTTCAACAAACACATACTAAGAAATAAAGGCTGAAATAAAGGATAAGAACTAAATCGGTTTATTAGCAGCACCTCTTGAAGGTGCGGAAATGCAACGTTTCAGGGTGCAATCTTGTCTACAGCAGTTTGAGAGGTGCATTCTGCAACTCTCGAAGCTCAGTACGTGTTACACATTTCATAATAAGATCTCACGCGGGATTTATTTGCAACCATTGAAGGGGTCTCTGCTGTTATACCATTTGGTGTAAACAAAAAAAAGGAATGAATTTACTTCTTGATGCGAGGAGATAAACTTAACCTTGGTATAAATATCATTCTTACATTGATGTCAATGTCTTTCCTGGAAAGAAGGTCTCTAACGCCATCTACGTTGCTGTCGAGTACAGCTACATGAAGCGGAGTGAGGCCTTGGGAGTTCTTAGCGTTGGTGTCAGAGCGCTTCTTCCTGAACGGAGGATTCAATTTGGGCTTCGCATTCTATGAGAAATGGAAAATAGATAACATTGAGTAACATGGGGAGAGACATAGGTAGATGGGAAAAGAGGAGGAGGAGGAGGAGGAGAAATAGAGATTGAGGTGGGGTAGAGTCGTAGGGGAGGCAGAGAAACAAAATGAAAAAGAGATAGAAATATAGAGAAAGAGACAAACATAATGAGAAAGGAGGAGGAAGAGACTTCGAAAATAGAAGTGGTGGTGGTGGTGGTAGTAGTAGTAGAAGTTGTAGTCGTAGTACTATTAGTAGGAGCAACAGGAGCAGGAGCAACAGGAACAGGAGCAAGAGAAGGAGGAGCAGCAGGATGATTAAGAACAATAGCAGGAGAAGAAGGTGCAAGAACAAAAGGAGCAGCAGGAGCAACAGGAGCAGGAGCAAGAGGAAGAGGAGCAGTGTGGTGAGCAAGAACATTAACATGAGCAGGAGGAAGAACAGGAGCAAGATGAAGAGGAGCAACAACATGAGAGAGAACACTAGCAGGAGCAGAAGCAGCAAGAACAATATCAGGAGCAGAAGGAGAAGGAGTCGTAGGAGCAGGAGCAAGTATAGGAGGAGCAAGAACACTGACATGAGCAGGAGGAACAAGAGAAGGAGGAGTAGCGGGAGCACAAGGAGCAGGGGGAAGCAGGAGGAGGAACATGAGCAAATAAACAATATACAAATAGTTACAAATAATACACATTTCCACTGTATGATAAAAGAACAAAACCCGAAGAATTCGTCAACGCTTCCACGATCGCACATCGCATTCCTCCATAATTATTCTATGGCATAAACACAAAACGCACAAATGACATTTACCAGTTAGTATACTTATTGTCAACCAAATGTATGATTCTTGTTGTCGTAGTAGAAGAAGTGCCAGGCCGGACGGAAATTACCAATTTTGGAACCTTTTTTGTCCGTATAAAACAATAAAACATTCAGTATTTAAGGTTTGGATATAAAATTAAGCTGACATAATTCATATGCTCCCTCTTTTGTGGAAGTGCTTGTTTGTTAGAATAGTTGTTGTGTTCAAAGTTCGAGCTCCTGTCCTACGCAATTTACCATGTATTGTACTCGATATTTCAAAAGAGTTTCTTTGGGTCTTTTTTTCCTTTCGGACATGACATGAATAATCGCTCCCACAATCCTGCTTTGTGTCTTTCACAGGCTATTAATTCCATGGAATTTCAGCCATAGTGGTTTTATAATCTGCTGAATGCTGTCAAATAACTTACTGCTAGTTTTGTTGTTGCTACCCTTTGATGTTTTTCAGCTTTTTATCAAATTTCAATAGTTTTCTTTGTTTTTTAGTGTTGATATTATTATACAATAGTATTGATATTTTGTTAAACTAAGCCATGAAAGTATTTCGTATAAACACGAACGAACTACTTTCGCATGTTTAGTTTCACCGTATTTGTATGCTATATTATCGGTTGAAAAAAGAAATAAACTAATATATCAGCAGAATCAGTAAAAAAACACATGATATTTATGTGAATATACAGTTGAAAATATGAAAATAGCCAATAAGAATCCTAAATTTGCATCATATCAGATTAAATGTAGTTAACATGGCAAATTCTACTATATTTTTTAAAATAATGCATTTGTATATGCTTGTTTCAGCTGATGATTTATTTCCTCTCTCCCTTCTTTGAAATATTAAGCCATGCATTTCGAAACCGTCCTTACATTATCTTGTCAACACCTTCATCTATACATATTTTGACAAAGCCTTTCCAAACGAAATCAAAGAACACCCCAGAAATAAGAATTTACACATTGTAATTAATCCAGTCATTTCTCATAAGAATATATTTCTTCTCGTGTAAACTGTGTACAATGTCTTATGACGTAACTCAGTTAAATATCTTCACTAAGCAACCGCATAGTTCTTCCTATTAGGATGTCGTGGCCTCAATACATACCCTGTCTAGTTAGGACATCCTTTGAATTAAAAGCAATGCCAGATTATTGTCAAAACTTACGTAACATGATCTGCCTGTCTGTCTGTCTCTCTCTCCCTCTCTCTCTCCCTCCCTCTTTCTCTGTTTCTGCTTGTCTGTCTCTTAATCTCTCTCAACCTCTCAACCTCTCAACCTCTCTTTCTTTCTCTTCGCTTCTTTCTCCACTTCCACCTCTAACCCCCTCTCTCTCTCTCACATCCTCTCCCCTTTCCCCCTCTTTTTCTCTCTCTCTCTCTCTCTCTCTCTCTCTCTCTCTCACCCCTCTCTCTCTCTTTCTCTCTCTCTCTCTCTCTCTCACCCCATCTCTCCCTCTCTCTCTCTCTCTCTCTCTCTCTCTCACTAACTCTCTCTCCCTCTCTCTCTCTCTCTACCTTACCATCCCACTCTCACGCATACAATATAATGTCTCAACCTTGTGAACTAACGAACTAAATTGACTGATGGCACTGAAACAAATGTGACGATTTGTTTGTTCACAAATACTCAATACTGAAGAAACAAATGCAAAGATTAGTTATCGAAAAAGGGAACATATCTAATTTGTATGATTATCTTCCTTTGAGAAAAGCAATTGTATTGAACAGAACGTAGTCAAGTTTGCTGTAATGTTGGTCAAAATCTGGTGCTCGTCATCCCTTCGAACATTCAAGACATATGTACTTTAGTTGAAATGTACTTTTAGCCTGCGTTTTCTTTGTCCTCAGGCAATGCAATTTCCTTGCCCTCTGACTTCTGTTTGTTTACGGTTTATTGGTGTTCGCAATCAAGGTGATCATACTACAAGACTCAACCCTGATCTTAATTCTCTCATTAAAACAATTATATTTATACATGTATATGTAAATTTTGATTATATGAATTATCTTTAAAATCGCTTTATTTAGATACAAGGGGGAAATGCGCTTGTAAAATGGCGACTGGCTAGAATGCTCCCCAGGGAGTGGAAAATGTGCACACATTGTGTGCGGGTAAGCCTGAATCCGATGACCGGGGTAATAATATATCTGTAAAGCGCTTAGGCACATCGTTGGATCGGTGTATTGAGCGCTATATAAAAAAAACGGATTATTATTATTATTAAAGGAATGTCTAAAATATTAGTTGAATTGATTTGTATACAATAAGATGGTGTTGGTAAACAATAACAATAAATTCATTCCAAACCGTCAATGATGTTGTTTATATAGATACTAGTGTACACGGTTAACCATTCGAAACTGTTTATCAATTTGTAAAATTTGTTGGTGTCATTTATTTCCCATACATGTATATGCAAGCTAGTTGAGAGTTTCGATTGGATGATTTTGTTTTGGACCAGCGTCATGCTATGTCAACTTGTGTTTATGGATACTGTTTTAATTATCTTAGCTGTAATAGCAAACGCATTCGACCAAAATGTGTGGGATATAAAAGTATTCTCATTAATATAAAACACCTGGTGTCTTTGAATAAGCGTCAATTATTTTTACAAAAGCTTAAATAATAACAAAATTCCAAATTGTAATTCTTTGAAGAAGAACATTTTTAAATATTATGAAGACGAGAGATATATTCATTCTTGTCTGATATTTATAACAAATTATTTACTAAAGGGCAGTCACTTCACCATTTGTTTGTATGAACAACAAGGAGAGAATTGTGAAAGTATTCTGTTTTATTTGAGTTGAAGAAGGATTTAATTTCACTGAATAGTAAAATGTTTTGTTTGACTCAATAAAATAGCATATGAAGGACTAAAACGTTAACAAACAAAATAATATAAAGCACCTGGGCCCCCGTCTTATAATGAGTGGATATTAATCGTAACTTATTGATTTAATCGAATTATGTACATAAGAGATAGGAGACTGCAAACTTGCTGTTGATTAGAGAACTTGCGATTGATTTTGGATCAATCGTAACTCTTTATAAGACGGGGTCCGGGTAGTACCTTTGCCCTCTACAATTAACGTGCGACGGGTAATTTTCAATATTTTCCCACTAGTGTTTGTACAAAAAGCATGGCTACAGCCCAGAAGACTGACAATGTCGGTCGAACGAATCTTCTGAAACGTTGTAAGAAGACTCAAGCGACAAACGGCCCACCAGACCGCCATCGTCGGTCTATAGGTACATGTATGTCCCGTTCGAAATCACTTGAAATGCAAATATTAAACTAGTCAAATTCAAAGCAAACGATGATGTTGAAGGCCATTTTCATTATGATTTTCTTACTTTTGGTCGTAATTGAGAAGCTGAACCTCCGTGGATATTCTTTTCATAATGATTATACTACAAATATATATCAGAAAAAAAGTGTCTGATCTATCTCTACACTGGTTCACAGGTTTGAATGGGATTACTGTAAAAAACAAAATGATGAGATTTGTTTCTGTCTGGTAGTTCTTCTTCCAAATCTACTTCCTGGAGTAGACGCCAATGTATATATAAGAACGGATAGAGGCATGGGGCTAAAGTATATGGATTAGTTGTCTTCTCCCTCCCATCGAGTTGTACTATATAATTTCCTTCGTTTTATCGTTTCGAAAACCTGTCATATCAAAATCATTCCCCAAATGAAGATCAATGTCATTTGATAAAGTAACTATCTTGACCTTTTGCACGCGCCTAGATAGCTTTCTGCAATCAATTGGAATAAATCGTTTCTATGGCAATAACATTTCTTCACGAGTGTTTTCTCCCGGGCATACTTTAGTCTGACATTCCGGTGACATTTTCTCTTTGTTACGCACACAATCTCGTCTACCACATGGAAGAGGGCACACGAGGAAGACAAAGAAGAAAACGATACTCGATTCACCCATGGGGGCCTGAACCCCTGACCCTCGCATCCAGGGTAACTGTTTAGTGAAAACGGGAAGCATGATAACCTTACACTTCGTGAAAAAACAATGAGTATTATATTACGGACATCTATTTTGAGGGTGTCTCCTCGTTTTTTACGAAATTAAGTGTGTTCTGTGGTCAGGAGCGGGAGCGGTAAAGTTAATATGTGCCCCCCCTTAGATTCCGACGATGGGTCGACGCCCATGTGTGATGTAATCCTCAGACACATATTGATACACATATAGGTCTAATTGAAATCGCGTCATAAGCCTACATGTACCTTGTTTTGAAGTATCAACTACCATTTATTTATAACTCCACCCCCCCCCCCAATATTTGTTTATTACATTTACAATGGCGTAGCTTCAATCAACTCATTCAGAAGGGGGAGGGGGCAGTCCCCGAATCTTATTCTAGTGATGGAAATTTGAGGCTATATAGTTGCGAGAAGGGCCTAGTTCCCTGCACTGACATTAACCATTGTTGTGGATTAAAAGTGTGTACAAGACCCCACCCCCCTCATCGTTTTGATCTCTATTTATTCACAAAGTTAGTGGAACCACTGCCATAATGGGAAAATAGAATACGCCAGACTTTTTTTGTCTGACAAACTGACACAAAATCAGCTTTTTCTTGGGCTCTAAACATGTAATAGTGGAAAGCATCACCACTACTTGGAACATCTGACTCCTCGCTTTTCAGTTAAAACCGTAGACAATAACATTGATCATAATATCTCGGCAAGATAGTTCATGGAGATTCACTTAGCCTGCAGGTAGTATGTGAGATGAAACATACATTATACGGGATATCATAGCTTAACCCGTCCTTTTCCCCCACCACCCCACGAACTTTAAATTAACCAACACAGGGCTATAAACGCATTTAAATTCAAACGTAGAGATGCCTATATCAGTAAGAGGAATACTTAAATGCCGATACAATCGTAGGATTAGAACAAAACTTTATGATGACCATTATGTAATACATTTCGGTCAGACTGCCTCTCGCTACACAAGGCCCCCAACCATAAGATCATGGCCAAGTCATGCATTAAGACAATGCAGTCACAATTGTTTCGACTTAGTTTCTCCAGCTTTTCTTAAGGCTCTCTCTCTCTCTCTCTCTCTCTCTCTCCCACTCTCTCTCTCTCTCTCTCTCTCTCTCTCTCTCTCTCTCTCTCTCTCTCACTCTCTCTCTCTCTCTCTCTCCCCTTTCTTTGTGTCCATTTTTTCGCACACACTCAGCAAGCTTGTTCATTTCCCTGTATTGGTTCCATCCAACACCATGGATGCACAACTGTTTATTATTACCTTCTTTTTTCGGATCCTTTCTTAAAGGTAATACAAAGTTTGGTATGGGGTCATAAATTTGGTTCAAATGAACATATTGGAAGCATATGCGATCCTTCAATATTTAGTGATCGTTGTCGCGGTTAAAATCGAGTCTAAAGTTATGAAATTGTAAATAATAAACTCTTTATGTTGTATAGCTCCCTCTCAAGGTCAAAATATTAATTTAGCTATAAAACAAGTTTTCTTGACTAAAATCGACCGATTAGCTATTCCCGTTTGGAAATTATATATCACAGCTACATTTTCTGAGATTTACATGGTCGCAGCTACCACTGTACGGCCGTAGGCGGTATTTGAAATTTATCAAAATTTACCGGGAGCACCGGTAAATTGTTATATTCAATTTTTCTCGAAAGCAGAAGTGTTTTAGGGGCTAAATTTTCTAGTGCATATATTACATCTACAGAGGCATCAAAATATATAAAAATTATAAAGAATCACTATCCACCAAATTTTGAAAATTTCCCAAAACTTTGTATTACCTTTAATACACTTTTGTATTTTCTACTCCAAACAACAAGGAATACAGATACACACAGTAGCGGATCCAGGCCCCCCCCCCCCATCACGTGATTTTTACCCTGGCGCTCAAGGGGGGGGGGGGGGGGGTTGCAAATTTTGAAATTTTCGAGAACCAAAAAAAATGTGCCTCACTACCCCCCCCCCCCTCCCCCCCTCCCCCCCCCCCCCCCCCCTCCCCCCCCCCCCCCCACTGAGCGACTTTTCGGCCGGCACGATTTTCAAATTTTCGGAGGCAAAAAAAAAAAAGTTGGGCCCCCTCCCCTAAGAAATCCTGGATCCGCGCCTGGATACACATACATCTTGGGGACAAGCCCTGTAGCCTAGCTATTTGAGATCATGAGAGAGAAAGTGTGAGAGAGAGAGAGAGAGAGAGAGAGAGTAGAGAGTGGGGGGGGGGGGGGGGGGGGAGGGGGGAGGGAGAGGAGAAGGAGAAGCAAAGTAAGAGGGTAAAGCAACGTGAACAGATGATTATAGCCTCCCAGAGTCACCCCTCTCCCGATGGCCCTTTTCTTTTGCTTTTCATCAACGTTGCACGACCGATGCCGTCCCATCATCCATGACACCAGTGCCCCCCCCCCCTCACAAGCTGGTCTCAACTATACGCCAATGGTATATATTTACAACAGAAAAACTATCTCACCTGAACCTTTTCTCGGAGTGAAATCTTTTTCTTCCTCGGTCTATCATCCTCACTTGACGATGATGCCAGGGACGATATGGACCTCGATTTCGATTTCCTCTTGGGCATGATCCTCGAGATAATTTTCTTCGCCTTCGCCGACGACGACGACATGGTCGTATTCTCTGTTCAAGCCTTCAGAATAGAAGATAGTGTGCTTCTTGCAAGCAGGTTGTCGAGAACTTGAAATTTGATGAAAAGTTCTTGCTTAGCGTCGTGACTGGTTAAACCATAACAAAGCGACAGAAACTACAATGTGAAGAAAGTTCTTGCTCCAAAGTGAGAGGGCGGAAATGAAAATATGAAGGAAAGATTTGCCTGAACCAGAGAGAGTGGCAGAAACTCAGCGAAACCTAATTGTGAAGATAAGTCATGGATCGGCTAAACCAAAATAGAGCGATAGAAACTGAAGATTGAAGAAAAGTTCTTGCTTCAGCATCACAACCACAGTAGAGCGACAGCAACTCCTAATGGAGGCTCCTCCTGTTCCACGAACTCCGTAAATTTGTTGTTCTTGACGCAGACGTGGAGAGTACGACTTCACCGCGAGAAAGTTGCCATGCCAATAATCCGCTCAAGAACAAGAGGCTCTGATTTAAGTTGTAAGCTCTCTATTTTTGGCAGCTTTCAGGGCTCAAACCCAAAGTTCGACTTTCAATTTCAGTTCAAGCCATCTAGGTAATGAGGTCAAGCTTGGTTAGCCAATCCTATCCATCCCTTCACCTAAATCAGCTTGTTGATTTCACCTCCGCATCATTGATCACGGAGTGGGGGCGAACGGCTTTGGACCGGAAATATGCGACATTGTTTTGTTCGTATTTGTTTATTAGATTTATTTCATTGAGACATCATACATATTTTGTAGTAAATAAAAAACAAGAATTTTCAGGACTAGTAAAACGCAAAAGAGTTTGAAATATTTGTTTTCTTTCTCAGGCAACCAGAAAAAAGATAACTTGTATTATACAAAATCGCATCTCAAGGTCAATAATGATCGACCTTGAGATGCGACTTTGTTTTTGTTGTTGTTGTTGTTGTTGTATACACGTGCCCCTCTCTTTGTTTGAATAAGTCATAATTTTTGTTAGGGGACATCAACACATTCCTTTGAAATAAAAGCATGTCAATTATGAATAATATCACGACCTTGGCCCCGTTGCACAACACTTACCATTGATGGTAACTTTGCCATCAATGGTTACTCCCATGGAAACCTTGATTTTGATTGGCTGATGAGCCCTGTTACCATGGTAGTTGCCATTGATGGCAAAGTTACCATCAATGGTAAGTTGTATGCAACGGGGCCCCACTCCTCAGACTCAAGCCCTGGCAATGTACATGTCTATGAATGAGAGATAACATTAATTTATATCTTTAGATTAATCTTTTGTTTTATCGAAAAGTACAATTGGAATGTATTGTTGGCATACCTTAACACCTCAAAGTCACTTTCAACTAATTCATTAATTTATTTAGAACTATATGTTTTTGTTACCCTCATGATACCACTATTATTGTTGCTTTTCACCAACACAATGCATTTCATCTCATAGTTCGAAAAAATGACAAAGCAAATACAAAAACATTCCATAATTTATATGTATTGTATGGTATTATATTTATTAAACGTCATTGATGTACATCAATATTCTGTTTATAAACATATAAATCAATTTACAATGTAATGTAACAAAATCAATATTCTGTTTAAAATAAAATTGTTGGTCACATGTCCTGTAATTTACTTCTGATGGAACACTTTATCGTTTAATCTATATGGGGCAAGTTTAGTTAGGCCCATTTTGCAGATTTTAATTGAATATGAAGCAAATTTACACACCAAAATAAATATTCCACTTTGTATATTCGACATGGGTAATCTGTAGCAGTGATATATTAACTTATCAATGTCATTATGGGAAACGAAAGAGGGAGAGTGAGGGGGATGAGGGGGAGAAGGGGAGAGGTAGGGAGAGAGAGAGAGAGAGAGAGAGAGAGAGAGAGAGGGAGAGAGAGAGAGAGAGAGAGAGAGGGGGAGGGGTGACAGGGGGTGGGTGAAAGGGGGAGTGTGGGAGTTGCGAGCGGTTGGAAGAATTAGCAAAGATTTCACTGTGTTATGTCCTGCCGCTATTGTTCTCTTCTCCGTCATCGTCGTCCCCATCATCGTCGTTGTTGATGATGACTGTGACTTTCCTTCCTGGATTAAGGGGGGGGGGGGGCTCTACTTGCGTCAAACTTTGCCACTCACGTTCTGTGCTATATCTGAATTGGCCAGAGCGAAATCACAATCGCATTCTCAACATTCTTTGTGTCACTGTATCAAAGTGTTTTTTTTAGGTTAATCATCATGATATACAACAAAGGAGATTTAAACGTGGGCTCATTTTAATCGGACGTTATGCCATAAGAGCTCGTACGTCATACCCTTTCTCTTGGTCAATAAATACATTTTAAAATGAGGTATCATGGAGTATCATGGAGCTTTAAACGAAGGTTAATGCGATCTCACGCAAAGGGTATTTGAAGCCGAAACACCTTCACCATGGTTACCAACCGAAATATAATAATAATGATAATATTAACAATAATATGTCTGGGGACCCAGGGTAGCCTCATCATGCAGCTTTAAAGTGACTCGGTAACATTGTTGAAGGTTGATGAAAAAGATTGCTTAATTTTTGTATAAAATGTTACTTACTACATTCCTTCTACTATACTAACCCTCTGACATGCAAAAAATCCTGAACAAATTCTCAAACCACAAAGATAGCTATGGTTTTCTTTGAAGGCGTCGATGTGAGGCACCCTCTAACAGTGATTAACAGTAAATTCTCCCAACCATTTTTGAATTTTCCCAACCGTTTGTCCATGAGAAAAATACATAAAACAGGCTATAAAAATCTGTCAACACTTAAATGTCTGGAATGGAATGTAGAGCCATTATATTGCTTTGTGACGATTTACATGTTGTCTTGATGCTGAACAGGCTTTGACAAGTAGCAGAATAGAAGTAGAATAATATAGTTGGGAGAATTAAGGAATCGATCAGATCAGTTTTTCCCAATTTGTACCATGGATAATGATCCGTTTTCACTCAAATTTTCAGATTACCTTTAATTGTACATCTAGCATTGAAGTCACTACCTTAGCACCACTATCTCTCATCTGAACAATGTTACCAAGACCCTTTAATACTGTTCTTCCCGAGGGCCCTGCAACCATATTGTTAGAATTCAAGGGTTGATGTTGATTAAAGAGGAACATTTTGTATATCATGGTTATAGCGACTGGAACTAACATAATTGTCAGGATTATCTGAAACTAAGTAACTTACTTTGTCATGCTACCTGATTCTAATGCGTCCATTTATTGTATTCACTCCCTTTACTAATGAGAACGTTGTAATTCAATTATTATTTCAAGTCATCTCGTTTTCAGGGGGAGCAATACGCAATGTCGGAAATTATTATGTATGACTAATTTAATTAGCTTATGGTTTTATACGGATGCTGTGACACTTCACTTTGATTAATACCAAATTCCGTTCTGTTAACTGGAAGGCCTCATTAGGCATGCTATTTTCATCATTATCTTTCGATTTCTGTAAACTGTGCCATCACCATGGGCACAGTCGTCCAACTTAATGAAAATAATAACATAATAACACGCCTTTTTTGTATAGCACCTATCGCATTATGATATAACGTCTCAATTTCCAAAGGACTGTATATATTTGATTGCCCCAGCTTTAGCCCCGGCAACTGTAGGGCTCGGTGCTCTCAAGGACTGAAATCTTCCAGGTAGCTAATTAGTACACCTGTCTTGTTTGTGCGGCAAATGTAGATTAGAAATAGTGGTGGTTATTTTAACTGACAGCTAAGAAAGCAATAAATGCTTGTTAGCAAGCAACCAAAAGACCGACGGCTTAAGGTCCTCTCCGAGGGACCTGGTAATGAGGATTAATGCCTTACCAAAGGGCACTAGCGCATCGACTTGGTTTCGAACCCGGGTCACCGGATAACGAGACCACTGCTCTTCCGACTGACCTATCTTGCCAAAGGACGTTCATGCTGCGGCAGGGATTCGAACCCCTTACCTTGTGGATCACAACCCGGAAACGTATCCACTGGACCACCACACCTCTAGTTCTCTACACTTAATGGTGAAACAAACATTAGCTTGCGATAATCTGAAATTCCGATTTATAAAACCTTGACATAGATCTTCTAGACATACATGTAGGCCTATACATGTTTCTTTGTGCGATTTATTGCGGGTAACACCTATAAATTAATGAATCGTGTAAATTGTTTGTAAATAATCGATTAGTGCAAATGGAATGCAAGGCAGAGGGAAGGTGATTATATTAATTAATACACCTCCCGTTCTCTGCACTTAATGGTGAAACAAATATTAGCTTACGATAATCTGAAATTCCGATTTATAAATCCTTGACATAGAACTTCGTGACATACATGATTGTTTGTTATTTTAATTGTTGCAGGTAACACCTATAATTAATGAATTGTGTAAATTGTTTGTACATAATCGATTAGCGAAAATGGAATGCAAGGTCGTGAGAAGGTGATTCTGTTAATTAATTCATCAAAATCAATTGCCTAAATACTCGAACTGGTTGGTTGAGCCAGCGTTGGCCCAAAGCGAAGGCCCCTTCTACGTTTGCGCTCATCAAGTCTGTCATTAGTATTTTACCCCACAGGCCAGTATTCCCAATGCAATATTTGTAAGTGTGTACGATGTCATTCTAAAATGGCGCTTCAGCAAAAGTCGCTGCAAGTCAGCAAATGACACCCCCGATGCATCGGGATTCGGTTACCTCCCCTGCCCAAATTTATTTGATCAAGTAATACAATTTCTATGTGTCTTTTATACTGTATTTTTTCATTTAATTTCATTATCATCTTGATCTACATTTTCTGCAAAATCATTAATTTTGAGGGGTACAGACTAAATATTGTAAGCAAATAATTTCTCTGCTGCATATAAGATGAAACTGTTGAAACAATTTTAGTTTTAAATGTCTAACTTTTGATAGAAAAAAATACCAGATGAGGGAGAAAATACAGAGGTAAACAATTGCTACCCAGGTGTTAAATGGGTACCCGGTAGAATGCGACCGTCATTGTTGGTCAAACAGTTTTTGAGCGTCATGTAACGCCTGGGGACGGAACGAAACAAATGCGTCCAGATGCACGTCAAGATTTTGTTTTTTAAACCCACATGAATACAATCTTACATATCATTTTTGCATCAGTAATTTTGAACAACTACTCGACTAAGACCTTCTGAAAGCCAAAAAGGCGATCTATAATGGTTTAATTTACAAAACTCTTTTTTGTTAAAGACACGATACCAAGGACTTTCTTCAAGTCAACATTGAATGCCTCAGTCTATAAATCATTCTTTAATTATGTCATATGGCTTTGCATACATTGTTCGCACGTTTCAAAAGGTGACGCATAATGCTCTTAACATCGTCTAGACTCTACTCTAGACTCTTGGGTTATTAATTATTATGTGTATACTATCATAGACGGTCTATCACCAACCAAGCAAGATTTATTGTTGTTGTTTAAATAAATCTTTATTAAGATACAAAATCACGTATAACATCATACATAAATATTTATAACAAGCACTTCATCACATGCTTAAATAAAATAAAATGATATATCTATATTTACTTGAAACAGGGAGATGTAACTGACATCTCCCTACTTGAAAGCACATTGTAAATGCATTTCCTGTAAATCTTAAGTTATCTTCATCCACTTTGTATTATTCACATCTATTGTCTTAGTTTTATTTTCCTCAACTTTCAGTCTGTATTTTTACAAACAAAAAATATTTGATTCAAGCAAGCAAGATAAATAACACGCATCAATCACTGTTTTCTTGAAGAGTTGATATGCAAAGGTCGGTAATCGCATCAAACTCATTTTGTTTTACGCAAAAGACTTTCCCCTTCTTTTCAAACTTTCTAAATGAGTTCCTTTCCTACATTTCTTTAAAGATTCAACGCATGAGTGACAGTAGTCGTATTGTAAAGGTTTATTTTTGTTTTTTGTAAAGCAAATGACAAAAAAAAAACGCATTGTTTCATTTTCCCCATTGTCGTATTGTTTTGCTACAAGAATTAGAATGATAGCAATCGTATTATCAGTGATATTTTTAAAACAATTTATCTCTCTCCTTAAGAGCAAAAATACATAAGCTGACATTTATGTTTATTCTTAAACATCGTTTCTAAACACATCGTAAGTTGTTGCATTTTCTCTCGGGTTCCTTACCCTGTTTCCCACACCGACACCGCGAAAGACATTAATCGTGTTATGTCCCCTATACATTCGAATGATATTACCATAATACAGCTCGATCGTACAAGGCTTTAACAAGGAAAGTTAAGTAACAAGCAGACGATAAATATGTAACTGTTTTTCCAAGAGTACGAATCCGATTTCATGGTATCATGGGACACTTATGCCTCTTTGTAGCCTGATAAATATATTTGCATCTCTATGGGTACGTTTATGCTCAGTTTTGAAGGCAGAATGAGCGATTTGAAACGCTTATCGTAAACACTCATCGTAATCGCAGTTCCACGGTGTACTGTTTATGCTCACTTCTCTGGCTCCTCCAGGCAATTCTGGCTGGGTGGCCTTCCAGCTGGATTCGCAAACCTGCACTGCGCATGCTACGTAACGTAGACCCACTAGATGTCAGTGCGTTGACCCCATTTAAACGCGTTTACAAATTAATGATTGTGCGTTTATGCTTCCCCAGAATCGCTGATCGTAAACGCACCTTTGTGTGAGTTTAAGATCGGCGATTATGATCGCCGTTTTTCGGTGAATCAAACAAAAATGAAAAAGGACGCAACCGTGTTTTGAACTAAACGCGTAAACAGATGCCTCATTCTGGCCAGAAAAAGCTGAGCATAAACGTACCCTATAAATTACACTCATCGTGTTGTGCAGGGGCGTACGCAGGGGGGGGGGGGGGGGGGGGGGTTCAAACCCCCCCTTTGGTATTTTTTATGTGTGTTAACCCCCTAAAAAAAACTAAACCCCCCCTTTTTTTATTTCGAGACCCCAGAAAAAAAAAAGTGTCCGCTTACCCCCCCCCCCCCCCCCCCCCCCCCCCCCCACTGAGCGACTTTTCGGTTGGCTGAGTCGTTGCGATTTTTTTTTGGACTACCAAAAAAACAAAAAAAAAGTGTCCGCTTACCCCCCCCCCCCCCCAATATTTTGGGCCAGATTTTAACCCCACCCCCCTTGAAAAACTCCTGCGTACGCCCCTGGTGTTGTGTTTCCCTAAAGGCGAACCAATTATCAATTAATTCGAATGACATATACAGCTCATTCGTACAACAAGTTGTTTACAAGGAAAATCAAAAAGCGGGCGATTTGTATGTTACTGTTTGATCAATAGCGCGAAGGAAACACTTTGTCCGATTTCAAGGTTTCATGGAGTCGCAAATATTCCGTTATTTTGCAGCACGTAACTGAGTAGCTCTTAACAATTGGACTGGCTTCTGTTAAGTAGATTAAGTAAATACATCTGATCTATTTCATGTATATGTCCCCTTTAATTAATTGATCAATTAATTATAGTTCGGGTTCATTGGTAGTGTACTGAGCAACTAATCTATTTCTGATTTGCCATTTTTTCTAAAAATAAATAACAACAAGTATTCAGTTTGGCCCCATTTTGAAAAGATCTTCGTTCAATGACATGTAGGGTTAGTTTCACGCTTGGATTCATCTTGCTTTGTGATCTCTGAGTGTCTGTACTTCTCATCAGCTTTTGAGGATGATTACCCGACCAGAGCAAGCTTAGAAACCCATGGACCAATAACCAAGATATACACTCTAGAGTATTCGTCAGAACTTAAAATGGCTTCGAAGGATATGATCGGGTCGCTGCCGCACCTTGCGGGAGACATCGACCGACGAAATCGGAGCGGGCGTCCGATAGAGTTGAAGGCGTTGTCGAAGTCGAGTGCGTGTCTGACTACGAAGGGCCCAGGTTCGGATTCCGTTAGCAAGGCTTCGTCATTTTCTCGGGATAGAAGCCAGTCGGTGAGTTTATCTTTTATTTTGTAATTTTGCCGGAGTCATTGTAGGACAGATCGAATTTCTAAAGGCGCGTTTATGCTTCACTTTTGAAGGCAGAATGAGCGATTTGTAACGCTCATCGTAAACGCTCATCGCAACCGCAGTTCCACGGTGTACTGTTTATGCTTACTTCTCCGGCTCCTACAGGCAATTCTCCTTTGGTGGCCTTAATTTGTATTCCAGCTGGATTCGCAAACCTTCACTGTGCATGCTACGTAGACCCACTAGAGGTCTGTGCGTTGACCCCATTTAAACACGTTTACAAATTGTAAACGCATCTTTTTGTGAGTTTACGATCGGCGAAAAAGTGAGCATGGACGCAACGGTGTTTTAAACTAAACGCGTAACAGATGCCTGATTCTGGCCAGAAAAAGTGAAGCATAAACACGCCCCAAGTCTAGACCAGAGACTTACGAGGGTTCAGTGACGCAAAGACGTAACTCCATATTTTGCCAAAATGAGTACTTGATATCAAAACAAAAAAATGAGTTCTTGATTCCTTTCCAGGAAACACAAAGACTGAACTCCACCCAACACCCCATTGAGGTCAATGGCTAGTGAAACATAGACTTAACTCCTTAAGGCTCAAGTGGACCTCTATCTTTAAAGCACTTTTTCTCAAAATGGCCAAAATGGAGTTACGTCTTTGTGTCACTGACCCCTCGCTTAGTTTCTCCTTTTCCTCCTGTGCCTCACGTGTAGTATTAACAGTTTTCTTCCTGTTCTTGGTTCTCATCAACGTTTTTGCCTACTCTCAGCTCCGTCTCATCCCATAAAACCTTTAATTACTATTTATTTTCCTATGTGGGGACAGGTAGAATAACACTCGAATAATTAACAAAAAGTTGTGGAAAAATCCCAAGCTGTGTCACATCAGCGTCACTTGTCATGGTGGTGCCAAGCACCCTTTACAAAAGATGAAGATGTATACTGACACCTTTTCAAAAGTTAAAAGTGTTTACTACCACACTTTTAAAAGATTAAAGTATTTACTATCACCTTTTAAAAAGATAAAGGCACTTTTTTTAGCATATAGATCGGGTTTCCCTACTAAAACGTTTCTGAGTTTGCTATAGCCGGACGCTTTAGGAGTTTCGAGAGAGAAAAAAAAATTTACACAGCGCTATTCATGAATTTTGGTAATGTGAATCATCCATTGGTATATCTTATTTCATAGCTAGTGTTTGAGATTTGATAGATATTAATGTTTACACTTTTCTTTGTCATTTTGATCAGACCCCATAAAGGATATCACACAGACAAAAAAAAAACGAAACGAAAAAGTCTAAAGGATAGTTTTTAGTTCTTATGTAAATAATGTATCTCAGGAAAACAATGTTCAAAAGGGTGGATGAGCGAAATATTGATAGTCGCAACGGTTTTTATGAAGAAGGGGTTATTGAGAAGTAGAAGGGCAACACATTGACTTAATTGTGTGTATTCCTGACTGCAATTTTAAAACGAGAATTATTAACTGAATTATGAAATACATTAAAAAAAAATAGGGGACATGATTGTAACATGTACACCTCAAAACATATATATTTTTCGCTCATAGTCGCCATTACTAGCTTTGAAAACTTTCCAGTCTGATATGTTACAAGTAATTATTTCGATAGTGGGTCTACATTATGTTGTTCATTTCATATTTCTGTAAATAATTACATAGTGTTTGTGGATGCCACTCATGCTTTCAATAAATGCAATTCACAGATCTATAACAGTAAAATCCTGAAATCGTTACGTTGAGATTGATCTAAATCGTCTTAACCTAATTTTACTTTACGATTTACCTAAACTATATTGGCTGCAGCCCCACCCCCCAAAAAACAACAACAAGTAAATCGCAATATCCGGGCGCCTCCGCCTCTTATTTGGGCTGTGAAGTGTGAAGCGTGAGGACAAACTTTCCTTTTACAAAATTGTTCTAAGCTTGCTATAAAGCTTGCTCTCAAATTATCGAGAGTGTAAAGAGACGTAAGCCCCCCACCCCCTCGTCTGAAAACTTGTCATGCCCTTACTCAGAGAAATAAGATTCCTGAAGAGAACTGGTGAGCTCGGCTAAAAGCTAATGGTCCTTGAAATTGAAAGGGGGGTATTTTTTTGTATTGAAAATAAAACTCAATGACATACCATATCAATGGATGTATACAGAACACGGTACACCACAGGACAACACAACACAAAACAGCACAACACATGTAACCCTGCAAAATTTACGTGCGATTCAGTAATATAATTCTTTTCTTCCACATTGTTAACGATGAATAATCACACATCTGTTTGATAAAAACGTGTTTGTAAGAAAGCAATATATTCTACTTGGCAGAAACCTACACAAAAGCATGGTGATAATGTGCGAAAGCTGAAAAAGTTCTTCTTTAATGAAAGACATAATTGAAAATAAATTACGCAACGCTCAATCCAAAAGCCCCTTCAAACTGGATTTGAGAATATAATCTCCTATTAGTGGGTGGCTCAGTCACAAAAAAATACACCGAATTGAAATGGAAAAAAAATTAAAAAAATTATCATGAAATGATATCATTACAGTTGTACTGCTCTAAGCCCTGTGTCATGTTCCAAATTTCAAAATTAATTACGCGGTATCGCGCGAGCTCCAGCCGAAGATCACATTGAGATTAGTTTTCCTTACTCTCACCATGGACCTATTACGGAATAGGTCCATGCTCTCACTTAATATATGTTTGTTATGCCCTGGCGTCATTGTCAATGAATCTATGTTGTCTCGGATTTAGCAAAGGTAGCTAATCCCCCACTAATCCCAACTATCTAGGGATTAAAGATAAAGTTGAAATCTGGTCAAACGACTGTTAAAGAAATGTATGGAAGAGATTTGACAAGGGTTAATTTTGAAGCGCGTATATAAGCAGGCAGCAGCGGGTGTTTATACGGCGAGGTTTTTGAATCATCAAAATGATAAGAACTAAACGAGATCTTAATTAGCGATCGTGATATATTTTGATGTCACATGGTGAAGTTCCACAAGTGACGTCACGACAGCCACATGAACTTCTGGATCGAGCCACCTCTTTGGAGGTGTCATGGTAAAGTGGTTCAGTCACTTGACTATCAATCCAATGGCCTGGCACTATGGACGTCTTTTGGCAAGATATTGTTCCGCATTTGCCACTCTCAACCCACATGTGTAAATGAGTACCTGGCAACTGACCATTTTCGTAATGTAGTCGAATCTAATGCATAAATCTTTGTTAAGTGCCGCGTTACAATGAGAATGCAAATTACATACACTAATTGTTGCTAGGTAGGCCGAACATTATACAGAAAAAAAGGAAGAGCTACCCGAAACGATATTACGACACCTTACTCCCAAAAAGTAACACCGACCACCCCACACCAGTGCCCCCTCCCACTACCTGATCCAATCCCCTTCATACATGGGTTGTATTGGATACACAAATGCAATGCAATCGGTTTCTCCGGAACATTGATTAGGCCCCTCAATGCGGGAGTAACAAAAGCGACTCCTTTGCTTAAACCTTCTTTTCTTTTCAAGGTTTTCTAGATTTTGTTAATTGAAGGCGTTCATTAAACTTCGATGAACGATTTGATACGGTCCAAAAAGCATTTCCCCCTAACATTATCGATTTGTGAGTGGGCATAACAAGTTAAGGAGGGGATTTGTCTGAGGGGAACTTCTTCACGACCACTACAGGCAGGCTGCTGGCTATAGGGTAACAATCGTTGAGCGCCAGGAGTGTCAAATCTGACAGACATGAGCGGTATTATGTACAAGAACCCACTATTGTTAATATTATTATTATGCAAGTCGTTGAACGAAAAGTCTTGATAGGAGTAGTAAATGTAGTAGTAATAATTAAAATATAGCTTACTAAATATGAGCGGGAAAATACTAAATACAAGTTAACAAACTGCATTTGACCATAAAGTTCAGTAAATAATAATAATAATAATAATAATAATAATAATAATAATAATAATGATGATGATTTAGAGAAAGTATATGATACAGTACAAGGAATTTATAGGTTGCAGAACAGATCATATGATGTAATAATACAGCAACAACAAAATATGTACAAAATGCTATACTTTATTAAAAACATTTTAATTCAACTAAGGTTACAGAATAAGGCGTGTTTTCAAGAGACTCTAGAAGATTTGCAGAGTATAGGAGCATCTTAGGAGTTCTGAAGTGCTAGGCTGCTTCATAGTCAAGTGGGTCATCTCATACTCCTTGAATAAGTGAGTGTTGAAGCATGGTGTCGTTGCAATAGTAAAATAATCGTCGATATCACGTAGTTTTTGCTATTTAGCTGTGTCCCCACATTAAAATAATAAAATAATAACAAACGTGTTTGCTATCCCTGCGGATTTTAATATATAAAAATTAAACGACGAGTATAATGTATTTCCAAGTAAAGCGAATAGTTATGAGACTATAAGGATTTTTTTTTTAAATCCCTGAAAGGTTCGAAATATCCGAGATGGGGTGATTACCCTGTTACACCTTCTCCATGTACTTCGCTACATCGCAGTAGCCCCACAGACAAATGTATTATTTCAGGTTATTGAACTACGTCTGGTTACCAACTTTTTGCATGAACGCCCCCGCCCCGCCCCCGCATAAAGTATCGAGTATTATGAAACTTTTTTAATTGATAGGTAATAGAGTGCGGATTTCGCGTGAGAAGCGAACAAAAACAAGAAGAAGAGAAAAATGAAAATGAAATAAGAACAAGCAAAAACAAACAAAAAAGTAACAGCCGAAGAAGAACATTATATGTGATCAGTGTGGCATACTCTGCATTATCTCTCCTTTCTTGTTCTCTTTTTCTTGATTTTGTTCTCCTTTCTTTTGTGCAAGACTTTAATATCCCTCTATATATCTCTCTCTCTCTATGATCAACTTAGTATCTATACAGCTAAGCTTCGCCCTTCCCCCACAACATGTACCCACTACAAAAAAGGAGAATGGCTTCTCTCATTTGTCTAATATCATGAATAGCACTTCATTTAATCACGTTTTAAAAAGTGTGTTTTCATGCACGGTATTGAAGCGTGGCAAAAGAAAAAGTCCTATTCTGAAATGACCCAACAAAAAATCGTCTAACTCAAATGGTTACTATGTTGGGACGTTACTGACTTTTCTAAATTATGGGAGTGAAAGTATTGATACGTTTTTAAGCATTAACAATTTAAACACACTAATGAATGAAACACGGCGACTCAGCATCTTAACTTTTTAACTGTGACTCGGATCTCTCAAGATAAATAAGCACTTGGAAACAAAATAAATACAGTTCAATGAGTTCAATTTATAATTCAGCAATTGAACTGGTTTTTACATTTGACAAAGTGAAGATGTCTGTAATTATAATCGAAGAAAAACCCGACCAGACAATAAATTGAACGCAGTACTAAAATAACAATGTATATATTCATGTATTAGTTCATACACTCAAAGATATTCAGTTTTGCATGAATATACATAGACTAAAATTTTGATTTGAGAATATATGAGATATGAATAATAGGATATCAAGCTTCAATGCCTTTCAAATGCAATTTCAATGCGGAGACTTGTCGACAAGCGACGCGTCACGACATTGATTTTGAAGACTGTCAATGTTCTACTTCAGAGAAGCTGAAATGTTCGGCGTCCTGAACTTGGATGAACTACATGTAGTCTAGGAGCGAAGACCCAATCCAAACATTGACGAAACCGGGAAAAAAACTCGGCGACAGTGAAAATCCCTGTCAGTTGAACCCGATAAGTACCAGGAAAAAACATAGAGATGAGTTATACAAAGCAGCTATTATACGAAGTGAACAAGGTTACAGGCAGACGCGTACGCAGGGGGGGGGGGGGGGGGGGGGGGGGGGGGTTAACCCCCCTTGAGTTTTTTTTTAATGTTTTGTGTATGTGTCCTCTTACCTCTTAAGGATGTAGCTGTTGAAAGCTATGCCGATGATTGCGGGGAGAAATTTGTTCGAATCCCCTTGGAGAAAGATTACACACTAAGTGTAAATGATAAAGTATCAATAACCGGGAAACTGCTCTGCTCTGAACTAAACGTAATGTAACCCACGATTTTGCGTAACCAAGAATAACATTATTTACATAATAAATTACAACAGTCCGTGTCTTGGAAATATCTTTTTTTAGAATTAACCGTGTCTCAGAAATACCAAATTGCGTTAAATTCGAGTTTACACGGTAACACATGGAATTAAAAAGTTTTTTCAGTAAATTTCTGATTTCTTAAATGAATTGAAAAATCGTCACTACAGCTAAGCTGTTACTATGACCCCAGATTGTATATACAAAAACAAAATATTATCAATAATGATAATAATTGCTCTTTATCGAGCGTTTATATCAGCATGTTGTGAAGCTCATGGGCGCTTAGACACTGTTCTGTATAGACGAGCAACCCAAGTAACTAGCTCTTAAAAATATCGGGTATGGATTTACACTTGTTGGAGAGTGGCAAATTTGAAGTCGACTTGGTAAGATAACTTATGTCGCCATGACAACATGAACTTTTTGTGAAGTCGACTTGGCAAGATAATTTATTTCGCCATGTCGACTAATAAAAGTTGATAAGTCGACATGGTAGGTTAAATATCTTTACATGTCGACATGATATGGATATTAAGTCGACTTGACAAGATAAAATATCTCGTCATGTCGTCAAGTAGAAAGGCACTTTAACGCTTCCGTAGCATTGTATGGAGCGTTCGATGAATTTTCGATGCCTTTAAAAATGACTTGCTTCCCTAGTGCCTCAGTCACATCTTTGCGTATTTGACTTGCGTATTTCTGCGTATGTATGGCACGCCGTTTAAAAAGTTATTTCTATTTCTTGATTTCAAGAAATGATTTTCTGTTGTAAAGCAATGGTTATTCTAGATATCAAGAAATATGAATAAATGTTAAAACGGCTAGCTATAAATACGCAGCAATACGCAAGTCAAATACGCAAATGTGTGACTGAGGCAGAACTTGTGGGTATTCAGTGACCCATAACCAGTGTTGTTTATAGTGATGTTGAGAATGATCTACATTTAGAGGAGATGGTGCACATAATGGCTCAGTTATCAACAAATTTAGGATACCAATTATGAGACCAAGTTACGGTTTCCATACCTGTTTCTACAACGCATGTAGCTTTCTTTGAATCAGTATAATAATCACATGCATCATATTTGCAGCAACTGGTTACTTTTTGATACAAGAAATCATGATATCACAATTCATTACATTTGTTAACGTCAAATGTATCATGTGTTTTATTAGCAGAGAACTATATCATTTAGATTTAGCTCAATGAATATTCAACGAAGCTACATCTTTCAAGGACATCATCTTTCCAATTTCTCTTTCCTTTGTGGCTAGTATTTGTGAAATTCAGCTCCTTTTTTTCTCTCTCTCTTTCAAATGTAGTATTTACGATTCCATGACATTTGCTCCGGCGACAATTGCTCCGCTGTAAATTTCATACACTAATCGAATGGCTAACTTCAACCCTGGATTCAACACTATACCCTACCCTAAACCTAACCCTAAACCTAACATAAAACCCTATTGAAACCCTAACCCTAACCCTACATCTTAGACGAAATAAAGCCCGGAGCAATTGTCGCAGGAGCAAATGTCGTGTCACCGTATTGACATCATCTTTGGTAATTTTTTTTTTTGTCTGCAGTGGTACTCCTCCGGGTTTCAATTACAGTACACAGACATCGTGGTTGCGGGGGCGAAGATGGGCGACCATGAGAAGATGATGGACATGCTTAGTAAGCTCGGTACCGAAGGCTTTGCCGCCATCATCAGAGAGCATGATGGGAAGAATAATGGGCCACTTCACTATGCCGCCCTCAACAACGATGTGCTCATGACCAAGTTGTTGATTCAGTATGGTGCAGGTATTTATATGTCCTGTGATTTTCCTATTGATTTTTGGGATCAAGATTGGTATAATTATGATTCAATTCAGAGCGTTCCTTGAATTAGGGAAGGGGGGGGGGGTGATCATGGGAAAGAGCACATTGACTAAAACGTGATGAAATGAGTGTGTCTTCTAAACAAAAAATGGGAAGAGTGGATGAAGAGCCTACATACTCAAGCTCCACCCCCCCCCCCACCATCAATGTGGACCCTGTCTATCTACATATTGTTCTAATTGTATTGATTCACAGAAAACATCGATATTTAAATCATAATTCTATGCTTTATTGTAAGATCACGAAATAGGTCTTACCTTTGATTACATTTTAAATAGAAATATTCTCTTTCGCTTGTCCATTATGCAAAACGTGAATTAATCTAAACTAAAAACATTATATACAAGATATAGGAGAGATGGCTAAATATGGTGGCATTGATAATACTGTATGAAACTCAAATATTACAAACTTCTCGTTGTTTATCCTTGATCTTGAGAAGTAATATACAAATTGTGATTGCCCGGCCATGCTGAAGAACAGCTATTGACTGTAAGTATGCCACCGTGCTAAAATAAAATAAACAAACAAACAAACAATTCATTTTTATCATTGCAGACGTCAACGATATCGGAAAAGGTGGAAAGCGGCCTCTTCACTTCGCAGCGATCGGAAAAGCCAGCGACAGGGCTCCTACAATACAGGTAAATCTTCGGATAACAAGTCGCTGTCCAATTTTAAACCCATAAAATGGAATGATATGGATGACAGCGCCTAAATTTGCTTATCTTTTGAAATGGCATAGTCGAAAAGTATGTTTCGCCATTAGCAGACTTTTGCTCATAACCGTGACTATAACTAAACAATCTCGAACTAAAATGTAAATGATCGTCATCAACTGACTTTAACAAGATTTGCGATTCGTCCGGATTGACTGAAAATCCTCGAATCAGTCACAAACTGATACACTCCTGTCTCTTTACAGACCTGCGATTCACATCATGTTGTGACCGATTTAAATACATCGCACTATTTATAAGACAAGGACTATCGTTTATTTTTGTAATAGCTAGCTTAACAGTGTAAATAGTAGAAATATATTTGAAACCGGTCAAGGAAAGGTCTAGCAAAAGACCATATTATCCTTTCAAAAGTTGGAGATACCGATCGCGGATCGATTTCGGCTCGCCTTTGGCATTGTACATGTATATTGCATATGATGATTTTAGGATATTATCACAGAAGACACGATCGCAAAGTCTTTCGAGACATCACTCCAAGGTCAATTTAAATGCCCTAATGAAATCATATCCAGATTACATGATAGGCCATTGTAAAGTTTGCGTATTTTAACATGTGATGGACTAGGCTTCTAAGAGTGCCTCTGGTTTATTTATCGAATTATTTGCGATATACCATGGACCTACTATGAAGGAATATGGATATACTATTAATAATGAAACTTCGGCCATGTGTTGAAATTGTTCCAAACCCGACTCCATCTCTATTCTTTAATGTATTTTTTCTTTTAATTCGTTGATTAGAGCAATGAGCAAGGCGACCTTCCGTCATATGCCAAGCAGGCCGATTCATCGTCTCAAAGCTCAGACGAGAAACCTGACTCTGACGAATTCCCGCTACGACTCGCCAAATCCATCTTGGGATTAAATTTCACGAAGAAGAAAAAGAAGAGAAAAAAGTCAGAGATTTCATTGAAGAGCGGTGAGGACGAAGTGAAACATCCGTTGGAAGTAAGTCTTTTTTTTCTTAGTCAGGAAGACAGGATGTTGGTGATGAAGATAGTGGAGATGATGATGAAGGTGACGATGGTGATGGTGGTGATGGTGGTGATGATGGTGATGATGGTGGTGATGATGATGGTGGTTGTGATGATGATGATGATGGTGGTGGTGGTGGTGATGATGATGGTGGTGGTGACGATGGTGTTGTTGATGATGATGATGATGGTAATGATGATGATGATGATGGTGTTGGTGGTGGTGGTGGTGATGATGATGAGATGGTGGTGGTGGTGGTGGTGGTGGTGGTGGTGGTGATGATGAAAATGGTGGTGGTGATGATGATGGTGGTGGTGATGATAATGATGATGATGATGACGATAGTGTTGTTGATGATGATGATGATGATGGTGATGATGATGATGATGAGATGGTGGTGGTGGTGGTGGTGGTGATGATGATGAGATGGTGGTGGTGGTGGTGGTGGTGATGATGGTGGTGGTGATGATGATGATGAGATGGTGGTGGTGATGGTGGTGGTGGTGGTGGTGGTGATGATGGTGGTGGTGATGATGATGATGAGATGGTGGTGGTGGTGGTGGTGGTGGTGGTGGTGGTGGTGGTGATGATGGTGGTGGTGATGATGATGATGAGATGGTGGTGATGATGGTGGTGGTGGTGATGATGTTGATGAGATGGTGGTGGTGGTGGTGATGCTGGTGGTGATGATGATGATGATGATGATGATGAGATGGTGGTGGTGGTGGTGGTGATGATGATAATGGTGGTGGTGATGATGATGGTGGTGGTGATGATGATGATGATGATGATGACGATGGTGTTGTTGATGATGATGATGATGGTGATGATGATGATGATGACGATGGTGTTGTTGATGATGATGATGATGATGATGATGAGATGGTGGTGGTGGTGGTGATGACGATGGTGTTGTTGATGGTGATGTTGATGATGATGATGATGATTGATGATGGTGGTGGTGGTGATGTGCTTGTTGGCCCTTATTTTTGTGGTGGATGTGATCACTAGGGCTACTAGTACATGTATAACCTTGTTAACGGTTGAAAAGAATTTCATGATCACATTTATGTTTTATTAATTCTATTTCCAATATGTTTTAATTTCTTCGAGACAATATTGTGTTGTCAACCATAATTTCATTTAACTTTATGTCTCATTGTAATTTTAGGGGAAAGCAATAATTGTTGCTAGATTTTAGCAAAAATCGTTTGCCATGGCTGCTCTCACCGTTTCAGAAATCATAATAATTAGTGGTAACCCGACACATGCTTCGCCGACGATTGCTCCGCCGACATTTACTCCGCAAAACGCGACAATTGCTCCGCGACATTTGCTCCGCGACATTTGCTCCGCCGACATTTGCTTCGCCGACAATTGCTCCGCAAAACGCGACAATTGCTCCGGTGACATTTGCTCCGCCGACAATTGCTCCGCCAACAGTTGCTCCGCCGACATTTGCTCCGCCTGAAGCGACACTAGCTCCGGTGACAAATGCTTCGCCGACAATATTTTTCTTTCACGGGTTATTTTCGTTTCCTTTTTTTCTTCATTTTCTGAATGCATTTCATGAAATAATGTAGATGAAATGAAATGAATGAATGTTGATGACAATATTAATAACTAGATTTGTAATACTTGTTTTGAACAAGTATAGGTGGGCTGGTCTAATTTAAATTTGAGACAAAATAAAGGGCAAATTTAAGATAGCTTATTGTCTCAGCTACAACATACTCGAATTTCGGCGTAAACGAAGCTAAAACGACGGAGATATTGCTCGCGAAAGACGGGAATGTGGAATCCAGTTTTGAAAAAAAAGTCATGTCCCATAAAGAATACACGCAAAAAGTGAAAAATTGATATTCCTCCTTTAATCGCAAAAATACGCCATGATGATTTTGTCGAAATGAAAAATCATGTGTAATGCATTTGTAGTGAATTATCTCAGCTAGAACATATCGAAAGTTGGAAGAAAATCAATCAATATTTACAGAGATACAATCAATTTTCCAAAAATATGCTGATGTCATAATATGCAAATTGGAGTTTTGAGTTCGGAGGCCATTATGATCACGTCATGAGTTAATTGAGGGTCAAATGAGACAAAAAATCATATTTCCAATTCATACTCTACAAAATATGAAACAAAATTTGACGTCACATTACATCCTTAAGAGCTACAATGGATTTTGTATAGGCATGTTTTTGCCCATATATGCTATGTATTACAAGAGCTCGCACGCACGGACGTGTATCTTAAACGGACGCTCACTCCGTTATTAATGGTCAGAAATATGTTAACAAGGTATCAAAATGCTTGGGAAAATGTGCCAAATATGATGACAAAGAAAAATTGGCGATTCTTTGTTCCAAAAAGCCAGAACGCGCGAAAACACGCGCGCATGCGGGTGTGCGAGATTTTTTATAAAATGCTTAAAATGGCCTAAAACGTACGTAAAATTATTTTGAGATTATTTTGAGCATTTTAATATTTTGCGCGCGCACTGACGCGCGTACGTACGCGCACGCGTTGATTTTCAGAAAGAATTACAAAATGGCGCCTAGATGACGTCATCAGTGAAGGTCATAGTTGAAAACGTTATTGTGTTTTGTCCATATGCCTATACAGTGCGTCCCAGAAAAAACGAAACCGAGAAGTATCGATGTGTTATCATAACTTTATCACCACCATGATTAATGAATGATACATATTTGGAAAGCTTATAGTCTCCTCTTTCAGTTGATGCTACTCACGTGATGCATATTTCACGCATGAGTGATTAAAAGCAATTTTAAGGAAGGAAACCAGAAAGTAATTTGGCGGGCGGTATTTGAATTTCAAAGAAAATTTCATATTTCTAGAAAGTTCATTTTCTGCTCTTTCATATGATACCTCAGTCAAGAAAAATAAGCTAGGAATAACAAAGTTCTGTTTGTTGAAAGTTGCCCTTACATTTTCATAATTTTAACAAACGAATTCGTTTTCACTGGGTGCCTGCCGTAGCAAAAAGCAGATTCGACAAAAGACTTAACTCCGTTTCGTTGACAATCAGCCATGCATGAAGACTCTCGTCTACGGCCGATTGTCAACAAAACGGAGTTAAGTCTTTTGTTAATTTCGTTTATTGATACGGCGGGCAGCCAGTGAAAACGAATTTGTTTAATAAAATTATGGAAATGCAAGCACTACTTTAAACAAACAGAACTTTGTCATTCCTCGCTCATTTTTCCTAATTGAGGTGTCATATGAAAGGGCAGAAACTCAACTTTTTAGAAATGTGAATTTTTCTTCGAAATTCAGATACCGCCCGCCAAATGTCTTTTTGGTTTCCTTCCTTCAAATTGCTTTTAATCACTCATGCGTGAAATATGCATTATCTGAGTAGCATCACATGAAAGAGGAGACTCTAAGCTTTCCAAATATGTATCATTCATTAATTATAGTTGTGATTAAGTTATGATAGAACATCGATACTTCTCGGTTTTGTTTTTTCTGGGACGCACTGTACATATGTGTGCCAAACTTGAAGGCATTTGATTGAGCCATTTTCAAGTAATCGGGCTTACAAAAAAGTGGTTTGAAATAAGTAAAATTAATAATAAAGGCAATTCTAACGAAATTATAAGGTGATCTTTACGATATACAGCCCACCTGATAATAAAGGCAATTTTAACAAAATTATAAGGTGGTCTGTATTAGATACAGCCCACCTGATAAATAAATAAAGGCAATTCTAACGAAATTATAAGGTGGTCTGTACGATATACAGCCCACCTGATGAATAAATAAATAATAAAGGCAATTCTAACGAAATTATAAGGTGGTCTGTACGATATACAGCCCACCTGACAATAAAGAATAATAAAGGCGATTTTAACAAAATTATAAGGTGGTCTGTATAAGATACAGCCCACCTGGTAATAAAGGCAAATATAACGAAATTATAAGGTGGTCTGTACGATATACAGCACACCTGATTATAAAGGCAATTTTAACAAAATTATATGGTGGTCTGTACGATATACAGCCCACCCAGCGCTCAAAATACACGGGGGCGGTGGGCGATTCGCCCCCGTGAGCTACATAATCGCCCCCGTCAGGTTGCTCACGTCATGGTTGCTCCATGGAATTATAATATAAAGATTTTCTTTTCTGTTATAACTTTAACACAATATTGAGTTTCAATTTTCAAATGAAATGGAACTTAGATTAGCGTGCAAGATTTCTTGTTTTATGAGTAGGCCTATTATTACCGATTCAGCTCACAGTGCAGTGCCGCCGTCAGCAGTGGTTATAGGCCTACTGCGCCCTTAGTAGCGGTACGTGTGCACGCTGCCGCGCTATGTCTGCTGGAGCTGGAGGCGATCGCGCAAGGGCAGAAACATGGTCATGGAGAAGTTTTTCGTTGTGAAAGCGTTAACCCGCTGAAATCTGGTGATTTCAAATGACTAGCAAATAATGAACCTCGACCAGTAAATCAATATTAGGGACCTTTAGATTTGCACGATGGGAACGTGGACTGAAACGTGTGACCTCCTTTTAAGGCAGTGCCAGTGCTTAAAAGGACGTGACATGTGACTGCCAGTGCCTTAAAAGGAGGTAACACGTCCACGTCCACGCAAATCTAAAAGTCCCTATTGAGAAGAAGAGGAAGACCAAGATGTCGTGGAATGATATGGTAACATGGGCAGATCTACGGGGGGGGGGGGGTTAGGGGTTTAACCCCCTCCTCCCACCCCCGGCCCCCTTGGGTTGCCAAGTGAAAATGTGATATTAAAGCGGGGGGGGGGGGGGGTGCTGGAGAGGAGGACTACTAATCTATTTAATTTTTTTCATGGGGGGGGGGGGAGTGAAGCGCCGTTTTAGCATGACTTTCTTTTTAACTCTTACTTTCACCTATCTCAGATAACCCTAAGTTTTTGGTTGCTGCTTTATATGTAGTTGATAATGCATGATTAAAGTAAAGAGAGAGAGAGAGAGAGAGAGAGAACCACCATCATTTTGCAATGGTTCAGGGTTCGTGTAATGTACATTTGAAACCATTTCTTAGCGTCTCAACCCTAACAAAATGGCAAAACTATTTTTGAGGAAAAGCATTATACTGAATTAAATAAAGAATAATAGCTTTATATTGCATGATACTAATACTGATACGGGCTAAAGACAATGTGGTATTTGTATAGAGGTATTCCAAAATGACATTCTGATAATCAACATTTGTTCTGGTATCATAATGTATATAATTACGCATAATACAACTGATCTTTATGATTTATTAACGTGACATAGCTTCTTTTCCCCCTGCAAACAAAAAAGAAAACAAGGTTATTTAATAAAAGGATCATGCGACAAATAATCATTGTGATTCAAATTGATGCAAGGATTTTTTTGAATAAGCAATGCTTTTCACCAGAATCTTCTTTGTAAAAACGACTTTTACAAATCTCAGCCATGCAAATCTGCCACTGTGTTGTAAGATCACTTTCAGATTAGGAGAAGTGTATTCTTTAATGAGTATTTTACATTGAATGGAACGTCTCAACTCAGTAAGCATGACTGAGATTTGTAAAAGTTGTTTTTACAAAGAAGATTCGGGTGAATAGCAGTGCTTATTCAAACAAATATTCGCATCAATTTGAATCACAATCATTATTTGTCGCTTAATCCCTTTTAATGACCTTGTTTTCTTTCTCGTTTGCAAGGGGAGAAGAAGATATGTCACGTTAAAGACATCATAAAGATCAGTGTTGTATGCGTATATATTATATACACAGGCCAGTAACAGCTATGTAGCTTGTAAATTTGTAAGAGGGAAAATGCTGATTGGAATGATAATGATGAAACAGCAAGTAATTGAGGAGTATCATAGGTACCAATTCAATGGTTATTTGTATAAAAACAAAATTATAAGGTGGTCTGTATAAGATACAGCCCACCTGGTAATAAAGGCAAATATAACGAAATTATAAGGTGGTCTGTACGATATACAGCCCACCTGATATTAAATAAATAAATAAACAAAGGCAATTCTAACGAAATTATAAGGTGGTCTGTACGATATACAGCCCACCTGATAATTACAAAAATAACATTAGTAACACCACCAACCATAATAATAATTGTTGTCATTATTATTGTGATACTGCTTCTAATACTACTCCTACTACATGTACTAGGAAGAAGAAGGGGAAGAGGAAGAA